GCGATTCCTGAGTGTCAGGTACGCGTCGTGGTCGGTCTGACTCTTGGATACGCGCCACGTAAAGCAAACCTCCCTCTACGCTTGCAGAATACGTTGCGCGCTTCTCTTCAGCCATGATGACCTACTTTTGGGCCGCGTTGTGACTAAAGAGACGGTATACGGGATTTCTGTGTGAATAATCTCTTTTACCACTTCCTAGTGTTCCTCCACAGATAACTCATTCCATGGTAAGGGCCATTCTGCGTCGGACAAAAGCCTTCACATTTCAGCTTAGGCAGCCTTGCTGTAGCACAGACATGGTCGCGTAGCGTCACACTGTAAGCGCTCATGGTCATTACTTCCTGGTGGAGTCATTATATGGACCTTTTCGACGAATAGTTAGAATATAATCTAGTTTCGATGACTTTCCACTAGGGTCACACCCAGTGTCGTCTCCAACATTCTCAGTCTGTCATGTATTTCTAACGGTTTGGAGTAGATTTCGACAGAATCTTCCCTGAGCATACTCCGAGCCAAGGCTCAGTGATGGGGCATTGAAATCTCTAGCTATGGTAATTTGGTCATAGCCCAAGTTCAGTGTCCATGTGATGGTGCTGAGCAGTAGCTGGTTGTGCTCTGCCCCACAGGTGGGTGATCGGTAGATTCCACCGAGTAAGTGCTTGGTGTGGCCTACTATGAACTGACACCGTATAGAGTCTGGGAGTTCAATAAGTGGTGAGTCCACTGCGCGCTTACATTTAAGTTGCTTGTCAAGGTATATGGCAATTGCCCCCTTCCTTGTTACTCCTGTCTCGCCTGGCCAGAACCATACCACTTAAACTGATTTCGTTGTCGGCGATAGTGGAGGTTAGCCAGGTTTAAGTAAGGATGATCATTCTAAGGTGTAGGCGTGGCTGAAGTTTTGTGAGTCCACCCTCTTTTCCTCTCAGCCATCTCACATTACTACATAAACAGCTGACAGTGGGTCTCACAACCTCAGCGTGCTGTGGGGTAGTTGACTTTACGTAGTCTGCTGTTAGGGTAATTAATATTGGGACTAGTTGGGCAATTCCGATGGAACCGGCCCATTGTCGTTTTTTCCTTGGATTCGCGTAGGACATTTGGGTGACATAGACTATTATTCTCATAACCGCATCGCTCTAGAGTCACTGAGGCTTGAAGACGTATTAAGGCCTCAGTTTGCTGCCTCCTTATGGTTCGAGGTCTGCTTTCGCAGCATCGGATGTGTCCTCCCATTTTCTCCTTGGTCTCGTACCACCGTTGAAGTACTATGGCCATTTGTTCCTGGGAGTTGAATTCGACGCTTCGCAGCCTTGGGGAACTAAGCAGTGTGAGATGAGCGGGTTGAAGTGGCCGGAAAATTGATATTGCTCCAGAAGCACCAAGAGCCATTTGAGATGACAGCCATCTCCATTGCTGTACGTCATGTATGTGTTTTTCACAAGCAGTGTGTCAGTTTCCAGCTCCAGAACACCATGTATGACCATAGAGGTAGAAGGTATCAACTCCGGTGACTCCCTCGCCATTTGCTTGTTAGTCTATGGCCTATCATGTCTCACTGGGACACTGGAACTCCTGTCGATAGCTAATACTTGAGCCAGTAAAAGTGTTCCTTCAGCCTCTTAGGCAGAGCCTGGGGTAACACTTAATGGGGGTGGCTTACCTTGAGGTGCGTATACACCCCTGTACAGCCTGCACAACTTCGCTGAACTGATGTTCAGACCTAATCTATTGCACGAATTGAACCACCGTTCCTGGTCAAACAGAGCCTGTTGTTCAGGCAAGCTATCATTGCACTTAGGTACATTAAACAGGATAAGGGAGTTAAACCGACTGACCTCAGACTTAGGTTTTGGTTTTTGGCTACTTGTCGTCATTGCAGGGTCAGTCACCTTAGATTTCATCAGGTTCTGACTAGCCTTTGCTAAGTTTACGGGCTTGTTAGTGGTGCTTTGGCAATTTTATTTTCCCCTGATCTTGTAGGTGCAACCCTGCGAGTCTTCACTTTATGAAGATTGGTATTTCCAGTCGACTGGGCGGAAGTATCCTTCCTAATGTTTTTACTAAATTCTGGTAGTGTGGTGTTATCAGGTGAGGAGCTGCATGAGACTGTGTAGAGACACAAGAGGGGCGTACTGCTTCTGCTACCCGCAAACACGCTGTGTGAGACTGTGCCAGGGCGACAAAGTGGGCAGATGTACCAGAACCACGGGCACGGGTTATTTTGCAGAAACTCAGTGTTGTTGTGGCACCCATTTGTCACAGTGGCAGTGCGTCCATCGTTTGCGAAAATTGCATTCAAGTGCTGAATCAGTTTTAGAAACGATAACACTACAGGCCTGACATTCTTCTCCCTTCCTTGATGACGCTTTCGAGGTCCACTGGCATCTTGGGCATTTCTTTTTTGTTTTGGCGTGTTTAACGCACTGGCTTTCAATGAATGCAGACGTAGTATCATGTATGCCTGGTATTGCCTGTGCCGTTTCAGTGCTAGACTGTGGCAATGCAGGCATAGTGTCAGAACAGGCGAGACCTACACGAGTCTTTAGAATAACAATAATTCATATTTCGTGTAAACGGGCAAGTTTACAAGAAATGCATGCCATTTTTACAGGCACGATCAGTAATAAATTACAATCCCGCAGCTTAGTAAATTATTACTTTTTCAAAAGTTTGAATTGTTCAATTATTGCACAAGCAATTAGAACGGGTTCTTATAGATGTAAATTGCAAACCGTTTACTAATGAAACCATCAAAGTTGAGCGACAACCCAAGTTCGTTCTGTTTCCTGCTGGTAGTTATGGTCAACCAGTGAACAGCGTACATCTGGGTGAGTGCTATGCCATCACGTGATTGAACGCTATTTCAGGAAGAGAAGAAAATTCTGCGCAGCTGCAAAATGTTACGAAATGCAATTATGAATAATACATAGTTGGAAGTATGCGAGATGGGGTTGATGTCCCTCGGTTATTGCCTCCTCTGGCTGAAGCCCTTGTGACTACTGAATATAGTGTTTTGGCGCTTTTTCTATGTCTACTTCCAACAGCCATTTTAACAATCACTATAACTTATGCTATATAAGAATGAGAGAGCAGCAGTATCTACCCGAAAAAACAGAGTAAAACTGATAAAGTACAAGATAAGGAAGAGAAAAAAAGTTTTCGACTTTACCTAGTACTTTTTGGCTTATCGGCTTTACAGCAATCACGTGGTAGACCAGCATGTCTTGTTTATCTGAACGAGTGGAGAAGATACTGCTACGAATGTGCCACCTGAAGCTTTGGCAGTAGTTCGAGACAGCTGGACTTGCCACACAGAGATTTGATATGTAAGTAATGGTTGAATTTAATTCACCGGCTAGGAAGATCAGATTTCTCAAGGGGATAATTCAAAAAATAGATATTTTCCGGTTGGAGAGGACGTATTCAAAGAGCGCGCCTCATATTTTAGTCCAGTGGTCATTTTCTCAGGTTATTGGTAAAGGACTATTCTCTCACACGTGGCATTTTACAAAACTTCGTGTAACCAATACTGTTAAGCCTAAAACAAAGGAAAGACAACTTCATCATTTGCATCAGTTGTTATTTCGTGAACAAAAGCCTTTTTGAAATGATGGATAGGTATATACAAGCACTGAGAAAATTTGGCATCATCATATGAAAGGTTCTCAATGGTAATCAGATTAAATTTTCGAAATCCTCAATGATGATGCATACTGTATTCGCCTTCTTTGAAGGAATGCTCGCTCACATTTTAGATTGCCCAAAATGAAAATGTATAGCGAGACATAGGTTCAACGCACACTGCCTAATTTAATTCCCATGTTGAAAAGACCATATGAGGTGGACTGATGATAAAATGACTGTGAGGGGCTTATTGGTCTAGATGATTTTTAAAATTATGTTTAAACTAGCTGTCTATTTTAGTTACGACATAATTTGTACAGCTGTTGGCAAATCCGTCTCACAAAGACCTTTGATACCTTAGAAAGTTAATCGAAGGCTTCCTCAGCACTGCAACTTTGCATTAGTTGCACCACAATTCACTTTACAATCACTATCTAATTAACGCAGTCCTGTTCAGACAAAATTCTATTGAATCAGTACACTAATACTCCAGAAAATCAATTTTTAAAGGATATGACATAAACGTTATCACTTTGTCTCTAGTCAGATAAAATGTTTTGATAATAGTGTCCATACATAAGGAGAGTGGACAATGCGTTAACACCTCCAGCAATGTTTTTCATGATATTACGCATGAACCCTCAGTCTCTGATACACAATGATCCATCAATTTTGCATTTCTCAGCTTATCAGAAGACTTATAAAAGTGACTGGAAACTACAGGTAGCTTACGAAGTTACATTGCAGCTATTTCTGCTTTCATAAAGGGATTATTAAAAAAAATTTTATGATAGCTTGACTCCACCCAGTGTTTTTGACACAAGTATGGCATTTTCAGCATGTGATATCGGTTGCCCGAATTTTACAGGCCGACCATTGATATCGGGTGTGCGTCGACCGGAGATCAAATCCCGGACTATGTGCATGGTCGGCGGGCGTCCTAACTGCTGTGCCACCGACGCACATATGCTTTCAATGCATATGCAAATTTACAGTCACATGTGAGAATGCCATTTCATTTTTAAGGGAAAGCTGTATCTTAGCATCAGAAATCGAGGGAAGGAATTGTACCACTGCTTTGGAATCTTTTCAGTAATTTATAGTACTAAATTTGTCACTGTGTAGCGAATTTTGTCTAGAGGTTTATATCTGATGACGAAAAGTACATGATTCCTTTTTTGCACTCAGAATGTCTTCACTAAGTGAAAAACAGTAGTCTTGTGATAGTTAAATCAGAAATAAGGCCTTCGACGCTTAGGTTGTAGTTTAACGAAATGTTGCATTTTGTTATAATACGTCAATACCAATGATTCTTCACGGCCGTTCCTTTTACAATTATGTCAACAATTCGGACAATAATTAGTTTTTGACTGATGAAAAAGCTAAAAAGTGAGAGAAGGGCAACTAATTATCCATACTATAACATACTTAAGCGTATTGCCCCCAACACATGGGGTAAATATGGGAGTTCGAATGACATCCGCTCTGTTTTGGTAAGTTATATCTAATCCTAAGTCAGACTTAATCTTATTACTTAGGATTCTTCTTTAAACTCCAAGGTTATTTTGGTTGATGGTCCGGCTGCTGCAGTAAATCACGTAACAATTCCAAGTCTCTCAAAGTCCAGGCTACAGCTGACTGAACGATATCTTTATTTGATAATTAAACCAATTTGTCACAAACCATTTTTGTTGAGAATTGACTGTAAGACAGATAAAGGTGTTATTTTTCGGATAACACTATCGAATGCTTTGAAGCAGACAAAAATTTCAAACTTATCTTTGTACCTTCCACTGTCATCACTCAATGTTTCACCTGATGATAGCGAGCGAAAGTGGTGTATCTTGCGTTTGAATCTTTATGAGATTATTAGTGAATACTCTGATTATCGCTATCACAGTCTTAGTCGCTTGCAAATTTGTTGCAGTTTATTTTTGTATGCTGCATTTACATCAGATAACGAATATTCACCGTTTGTTCCAAGAAGGAATGTAACTCAAAAGTATACGGGAGAGGCTTTTCTTCCAGTTCCAAACGAATTTTGGCCATCTAACTATTCCGAAAATTTATCCAGTCTATTTGACCTTGTTATGGTGCCAGAAAATACAAGTAAGAGTTTTGGGAACAATTTTTCTTTTTTTTTTTTGCAAATCCGGACGTTGGGGATCATATGTTTTCGTGTAATGTGCTTTTTTAGGTCGATTAATTAAATTTCATGTTCTTGGTAAGGTGTCAAGTTCTGCTGAAGCAAAAATTGATTTCATAGACATTTTATCTCTTGAGTGTCTTCCTTCCCTTCGTCATGTTATAGGGACATTTTGGATTACTAGGTTTAATGTGGTTAAACAGAATTTCTTATTTTCCCTGTTCTGTATTCGGAAAAAGGTTTCTAACGTAACTTCTCGGAATAGAAGTCATGCCACAGCTACTTTATATCAAGTGCTTGACAGTCTGGAGAAAGGAAATGACTATTGGCGTTAGAGAAATAGTGTCGAATTCTTAGTTTTGTCTCGGAGGAAAGATTTTCAACTTCATGTAAATGTTTTCACATGCGTTTACATAGCTGCACTTTCCAGTCAGTAAGAAAGCCTTGCTAATTCTTGAATAAGGCTTTTAATCTTGCTGGATTATTTATTTCATCTGCTCCATCTATACTACGTGGGCAAAGTACGAGATATCGAAGGGTAAAGTACATCTCTTTGAATCATTAAGACTGCGAATGAAATGTTTGCCAACAGGGAGTAGTATTATGTAACGTTTGAGTTTGAGTATGAAAGACAGTGTTCTTTTGAACAGTTCGTAACCAGTTAATTCATTTCTAAGTTCATTTACCCGTCAACATGCAACAAAACTTCACACATTATATAGTTTACCTGTTATTACTAACTTCTTCAACGAGAAGTGCATGGATCTAATAATGACAGTGATAATAATAATTTTCAGTCTGCTGTCGAAAAGTATGGTTGCTTTCCTATAAACTTATTTCTCTTAAGACTATTTACAGAAGTGTATTCTATGTAGAATAAATTACCTAATGTATGGTATTAATCGTTGTTATCATCAAATTATAACAACTGAAATGCACACAACCCTTCGAACCTTTGGTATTTTTACTGCATATTATTCAGACATGTCTTTGATAATTTTTATAGCATTCTCGGATTTTTCAGCCTTTCATTTTGTTCACTATTTCAAACTAGACTGATGGACTTTATGATTGGTTTTTGTCCACACATTTTGTAGCTTCCGAGCTCTTGGAGTAGTCTGTCGTATGAGGAATTTCTCAAACGCCTTTTACAAAGATTTAGAATGCGTGCTGTCATTAATTCTGGATAATAAATAAACGTTAGCTTTGCTTTACATATTAAGGCCTTAAATATTTGCTTATGTGAATATTTTTGATTAGGGGGCCTTAATATTGCTTAATTCTTCACCAATTTCACGTTTCTTCACAGGTTCACGTATTTCTAAATTTCTAAATCACCTCTCAGAGATGTAAGTGATAATCTTCCTAATTACAACGTACTTTTCTCAGCTTGAGAATTTTGTTTTAAGTGCTATGTGTGATACTTAAGTTTAACTGTTTTTTTACTTCTATGGTGGTTGGTTTGTATGTTTACAAATCTGCATGATACTAACTTCTTTTTTCACAAACCAACTTTCTGCTTTTGCTGCGAAGCTTTCTAACAAAAGTCTTAAGGACTACAATATTTGGCGGACCGCAGAAAATTACTTGTCTAACATAGATAACATTTACGGCCCTTATTCATAGTTTAAAGCTCTTATGCAAATGTAAAAACTAAAATATAAAGTTGAATATTGTACAAAAATGACCGAGAAGTAAGTAGGTGATAAATACAATGAGTATGAGTGTTAAATGGGAAAATACAATGTCTCAACTTTTGAAACAATTTGTCGTTACTTCCCATACAATTCCACACCGTTACTACCTCTGTTCATTCACATTTTAACAAGAGTATACAGACTTATTGTTATTGCTTTCTCTTAGATTTTGAATTCAAGATTACTTCTCTTTTACGTCTCCAGGTAAGATTTTGTCAGAAAACGGGCTGCTCCAGTTATTTTTAATTTATCCTGAGACTAGATGTTTCAGTGTTAATTTTATTGACCTTTCTACGTGCGTTTTACACACCCTGTTATTCGAAAAAATCTTTCGCTTGTATTTCGTAACTGTGCTTGCTACTTATGTCAGTGTCATCCATTTAGAAGTTGTTTCATTTTTCTAAACTTCTAGATTTTATGTGATTATAGTAGTTCAATGCAATAAGTCAGATTTTGGATGTAATGTTTATGCTTGAAAGGATTTTTCTGATTTAATAATAGCTAGTTGTATTAAATTGTTTTGAAATGTAGTGTCACTGTGTCTGTTAATTTACTTAGAACATTTATTAAACATCTATTACTCTAACGATGAATGCTTAATATAAAAACCATCATACTTGAAACAAACACACAGAGTAATTCTTGGACATCGAAATACAATTAAAAATCATGAGTTTAAATGCATTTGGTGGAGTAATTTTACATTGGTGAAATTAAACTATTTAGTGTACTGTACTGTGAGCATGGATACAAAAAAGCTTGTGTGGCATTCACCAGCATATGTCATCTCTAGTGTAGGCAGGATGTCCAGTTATCGATCGAAAGATGTATGTACTGCTCAGCAATTCTCTCTGTAAGTTTTTTTGGCAGTTAGGCATGGGCATTGAAAGTGCAAGATGTGAAAAGGTTAGTTGTCTTCGACTACATATGTTTACATTCTGTCTCACGTGTTAAGTGGTAAAACATGGTGAGCAATATTGAGGTTAGGGATAGAGTGTTAGGTAAGGAGGATAAATGAATCGATGAAGTTGCGAAGATACATCGACTAAGTTGGTTAGGAGGCCAATTGCGTATAGTTAGCCACTGCCTTCTTCAGCAAGCAACGTTAGCTGGCATAGGATTACGTTAGGAAACAGTTAGGCGTGGAATCAATCCCTGAAGTCTGTTACTGTTGGTTTGAGCCACGTAGGGAGGTGTAGACTACCTGGTTGGGGTCCTCGTGATGCTACGAACAAATGGCTGGAGGCTACTGATGATATGGTTCGAAATCCTCAATGGCACAGATTCACTGACTCTCTGTAATCTCTTATATCCATTAAACTGTCATATTTTTCCATGTCACTATCGTTTTCTCCCTAACATATCTACTTATAATAGTTCCTTTCAGTCTTATTTTTTCTGTCTTTTGCATACCTTTGTGTGCTATATAGAGTGTGGGAAATTGAACTACTGCACTTTTGTCCGGAAAACCCATGTTGAGACTCAATCCGTCAGTCATAGCTTTTTACTTGTTTAGGTTGTATATATATATATATATATATATAAAGAGAGAGAGAGAGAGAGAGAGAATTTGTTTCAGAAATGTGTCTGTTTCACATATATTCTAAAAGTTTATTTTGTACTTTTTTGACTTGTAAACGTTACAACTCTGATTTCATCTCTAATCTACCGTTTGTAATCCCTTTATATAACTACTGTTTTGTGAACTAATGAATAATACTTATAAATTTCAGGTATTAAAGATTAAATAAGAATGTCATATAGCACTTTATTATTATTATTATTTCTGAGAGATTTTCTGCTTCGTTTAACTATATATCCAATAAAAGTCGGCAAGCAAGTTTTATCCACTTAAAACTACATAAAATTCTCGTGTAAAGTTTAACGTGTTGTTGAGAGAACTTATCCAAAATGTTTTGTATTGTTGAATACTTTTCAAAATAGGTGATGATACGTGTTCGAAAACTTCAGAGAAAACTGGCTTGTCATCGGATAAGCAGGATAAGATACTAGATGGGTCAATCCATTCGCCAGTTCCGGAAATAATCGAGAAAAATGAGACGTTTGTAAAGCCTGCTGATAAGGAAATCCTGAAAGTGAGAACAATTGAATTTTGTTTATCGTCATTACTGTTACTTTGTAAAGTTATAAAACATTACATGGATCGTTTCAAGGGCAAATGAGTGTTATAAGTAATTGAATTTTTTTAAACATATGATTCGGTTTCAACAATAAAGTAGCATTGTTTTAAAAACAGTAAGATTGAGAAAAGAGGTAAATACTTTGTCCAAGTATTGGTTTTTTGTAGGGATTTAGTTTGACTGGCCCAATTCAGTCAGTGATCTGGGGTTCTAGTGAAAAGCCGTGACCAGTGGGGTGCAGCAGGTTGAAGGTGAGGCAGTAACTCGTCGAAGAAGACATTGCGAAGTGGTTGCACTATGTCATGAATTGGCAGAAGTTAGAATTCATGGGCTGGCAATTGGGTCGGGTCCTAGTGGCTTAATTTTCTACGAGCTAGCTCGTCTTTTAACCAGAAGGTTCTGGGTTAGGACCCCGGCGGGTGCGTACTGATGAAGAGTCCCAAATTAGGACAGAGGAAACAGATGTCCAGTACTCCCTGGTGTGGTTTTTCAATGGTTCTCTAAATGATGTCGGCTCTTGATGAGATCCTTCAACTAATCAAATACTTTGTCGTTTTTATCATCAATTTAGCCAGGAAAATACAGTGAAGTGATAAGTGGGACTGAGGCAATCATCTAGGCAGTGGATAAATTCAAATTATAGGTCTTTGAACAAAACAAGAGGGATATATTGTGTAGGATGAAATGACGTCATTATATTTCGTTTTGTTCTTTTCAGCTGATTACAACCATGAACAACTGAATATCGATATACAAAATATTTAAATACCGTAATTATTGTTCAGAAGTGTGATGGATATTAATTTTATGTGGAGTTCGTTGGTGTATATAGAAAAAATTGAGGAATGTTCCAGAATTACAAACGAACGTTACAAAATGGAACAGAGACATAAAGTCAACAATACACTTATGTAAGGGGTCAAATAATTTAGTTGAATAGGGGCCAAAATGGGGTCTGTCTAGTCAAGAATATCGATAGAGACAAAATTAGGGTAAAAAATTACATTGTCAAAACAAAATATAATTGGAATAGCAGAATTAACAAAGGCAATCAAATGGCGTAAAGTTTACCAAGGTAAAGCAAGGTTGACGACGGTTTCCTTCTGGATGGTTTTAGTTGTTTAATTGCAATCGCTTATGTGATGCGTAGCAACCTGGATCTATGTTGAACTTTAATAACCTGAAAGGATTTTAATACGCCGACTTCATGACAGCTGTCTAACAGGTGGCAACCATTTGCACTATTAAACCCTTTAGTACCTTTCAGATGCAGGATTCTTAGAATATGATCAGATATGCGGTTCCAAATCCTTCTTTCTGTTCACTCAATGTATGTGCTTTGGCTTATTGGCTTTAGCACCCATCTTTCAGTCAGTAGCTATAACAGCCTCGGACATCATGTAGACATACCATGTCACGGTGATAACTTTCGCTTTTATTGAACGAAGACACATTGGCTGACTGGCTTCCCGAAGGCTGTTACCAGCCCCTCGTCATTCTGCCTCTCTGATTTCGGCGGAAAATAAGTTGGTGCTTTATATTTCTACTGTGCTTTGAAACTAAAGTAGACACTGAAATGATTTTCCCGGGGTGGAGTCGCTAATCATTTTCAAATTAATTGAAAACTTCAAATAATGTAGGGAATTTTATGCTGACAGGGATGAAATTATCTTTTCTAATTGTTTCTATATTACTTTTTATTTTCTCTCACTTCAACCAAATGATCATAGATGTCAACAGAATGTGAAAACAACCTTAAGAATGACGGCGACTTACAGTCGCCAGATAGTGATGTCATATCCACGGGAATAACTTCTCAAGAAGATGCTGAAACCAATCTGAATAATAATGTTTTAGATTTGGTATACGCAGCATCATGTCCGTCATATTGTAATAGTATAATTATCACACAGAATGGTCGAGTGATTATTTTCCCTTGTGCGGCATTCATTATTGTTATGGAGATTGCTAGTAAACAGCAGTGTTTTTTAGAAGGTAAGTTTCCATAAAGAATGACAATCTAATTTTAACGGTTAATTTTCCCCCAGTTTGACTATTGAATTCGGTTTTTTTTAAATAGGATTATTGATTGTCTTTTTCTCATATTATCCACCTATTCTATCATATTAAATGTGTATTCTAATTTCTAGGTCATACAGCTGAAATAGTCAGTATATGTCAAGATACAGATGGCAGACTTATTGGTTCATGTCAGTCGCCAATATTCGACCAAACCAATTCATGTTTTGGTATTGTTCATGTATGGCGTATGCCTAATGCACCTTATTCATCGAAACGTATCGAGTATCCATTAGGCGTTGGAAGAATTCATAATATTCAGTCATTTAAAGGTGTATGCATTTCAGAGAGAGGTGAATTTTTAATTACCTATGGATTGGATATTCGTTTACGTGGTCTGGTAGCTATATGGGATTTACGAGTAAGTTGCCAGATATTTATTGATTCTTGGTATCTTGGGTGTATCTATGACGTTCTTCAAATAGTCCTAATTTTTTTCTTTAAACGAACATTGGCTGGCGGTTGCGCTAAATAACGCGAATTAACAGGAGTTGGAATTCATGGGCTATTGTTTCCGATCCTAGGGGCTAAAAATGGTCTACAGACTTGCCTTATAACTGGAAGGTCGTGGGTTTGAACCCCGTTAGATGTGTACCGCTGAAGAGTTCCAGATGACCAGTACTCCCTGGTATTCCAGTGGTTCACACTTATAACCAATCAAATCCCTGCAAACCAACACTTGATTAGGAAACCCTTTGTGTTGTACAAAATGGATTCATTGATTAGCTCGTCCGCGGATCTTCAAACAGACTTTCATACAAAAATGACATTGAGAAAGTATGTGTCCGATATTTCCTACTACTATTCTACAGTTTCTTTTCAATAAAAAGTTTTAACATTCATTAATAAATTTTAACTTTTTGACAGTTATTATATTTTACAGTTTACAGTTTACAATTTATTTAGGATAGTAGGCTATATGCCTGTGTTAATCCTTTCGATTTGCAGCACACAGGAGGTCCAATCTCGTCTTGAATGAATCAACGGATGGCGCTGATACGACGTGTTCCGGTAGGGAGTTCCAATGGTTCACAATTCGATGCGAAAAACGGACCTCCAGACGCAGATGATTCGACCGTGGTTTTTGAACCTTGAGGTGGTGTCCTCGCAATTGGTTGGTGCTAGAAGGAAGAAATAAATTAGATAAATTAGCTCCAAAATCATTTCTTAGGATACGGTATGCTAGTATTAAGTCACCCCTAAGTCGTCTGTATGACAGTGGAAATAAACCCAGTCGACTTAACCTCTCCTCATATGAGAGGGTTGAGAAACCCTTTAGTAGCTTAGTTCCTACTCTTTGCACCCTTTCTAATAAGTCTATTTCGTATTTGAAACATGGGCTCGCTGCCTGGATCCCATATTCCGAATGAGGTCTGATATAAGTCGGATATAATATACGTTGACTCTAATACAAATTGCGTTGAAATTTGGTTTTACCTCATTTCATTTCCTTTAATAATAACCATGTTTGCATACGAAGTGAAACTAATGAATCTGTAGAGGTTAGGTGACATGCTAGTAAATAATTCCAAAACTAAAATCTAGTCACCGACCAAAATTGTTTGGTTCACTCAGTGATGGCTTCATTCTACGTATTAAATCCGCTGTAGATTTCTTAATCTTATTCATTATTGTATTTTACAAGCTTCTTAATTTCCTCATATGGACCCGTTGCAATGTGTTAAGTGACTTTTTCTATATAGTCAGATTTGATTGCATGGAGGATTTCATCATGAGCTGATATCAGTTAGAGAACCATTGGAAAACCTGGGAGTACTGGACGGCTGTTTCATCCTAGTTTGGGACTCTTCATCAGTACGCACCCACCTGGATTCTAACTGAGGATCTTCTGGTTACAAGGCGAGCTCGTAGACTATTGAGCCACTGGGACACGATCCAATGGTCCTTGAATTCTAACTTCTGCCTATTCACGACATAGCGCGAAAAATAAACCAAAACTTGAAAAATAGTCAGATTTGTCCATAACTACCGTCGGCTTTCCCTTGTCAGCTTTTGCGATGACAATGCTTTTGATCCTGTTTTAGACCAATTAGAGCTAGTCTTTCCGACTTCGTTAAGTTTGATTGTGCTTTCTTTTAATTTTTCAGGGTTAATGCACATTGTGCTCGAACCTCTTGTGCTGTCGCTTTATCTACTGAACTTAATGCTACTTCTATGTTAGGAATGACATCCTCTGGTTTTAGTTTACTAACCGTCACGTTGAAATTTAATCCTTTCTCGAGCACTTTTATTATCTCACTAGAGCTTAGTTCCCTTGATGAGGAGGTTGATCACCCATTTTGTTCTGTCAATAGAGGATGAAATATTGGCGTCAAATTCTTCATTTATTGTGTTCTTTTCTTTTTTATTAGTTTGTTGAATTTCTTAATTTGTGTGGTTTTTGATTTTCTTGATTCTGTCTCTGGTTTTTTCAGGATGTTTCAACAAAAATTTCATAATATTTTTCATTGATCATACCACAGTACACAAGCTCTGTTCTTACACCAAATTTATTTGAATTACATGTTAGATGTTATCAAGTTTAATAGATAAAGAAAGGTACTAGCCTTGTAATCTTGTTATGATATTATTATTTCCTTCAACTCCTAGAGGAACATGGGGCTTCAGCCGTGCGTCTCCATTGCGTTCGGTTCTCTGCTAGAGTTTTCACCTGGCTCCAAGTCGGCCCACACGCTTTCATATCCTCTTCACATGACCTCCTCCAAGTCACTCTCGCACTGACGACCAACTCGCCGCTTCCCTTTCGGGTTCCACTGGAGCAATGGTTTGTCTAGTGATGTCACTTGATGGTTTCCTCAGAGTATGGCCAGCCAATCCATCTCCATTTCTTCCTGCCTATTTGTTTCACAATCGGTTCCTGGTTGGTTCGCTCCCAGAGATCTCTGTTGCTGATCTTTTCTGGCTAGCCATCTGTTCTTGAGTATTGAGCGAGGACAACTGTTAATGAAGGTCTGTAGTTTGTTTGAGATGCTCTTTATGATGCACAGTGCAAGTCCCTGATCCGTATAGTAGCACTGACTTCACATTGGAGTTGAAAATCCGGATGTTATTTTTGATGCTGAGTGCTGTTGACCACCACACAGACTTGAGGGTAGTGAAAGCTTGTCTTGCTTTTCCGATTCTTGCTTTGATATCCTCGTCAGTTCTGTCCGCCTGTAGTTGAAACGATGCTTCCCACGTAGGCAGGTAGGTAAAAGAGGTTATTTCTTTCAGGTTCCTTCCATTTATGCTGATTGTTGTCTGTTGTTGTTGCTGTTGGTGGTGTTACCCCGTAGTAACGTAGTCGTTTCCAAATCACCTCTCGATCGACGCTGTCAAAGGCCTTTTCAAAGTCGATGAAGTTGAGATAGAGAGGTGACTGCCATTCCAAGCTTTGTTCAATGATGATCCGTAATGTGGCGATCTGATCAATGCATGACTTGTTTCTCCTGAATCCAGCCTGTTCCGGTCGGAGTTTTCCATCCAGGGCATGTTTGATTCTCTCTAGGATGATGCGGCTTAGTATTTTGCTTGGGATGGACAGGAGCATAATTCCGCGCCAGTACTTGCATTGACTTAAGTATCCTTCGTAATCTTAATAACATATAATGTAATTAATCCAATTTTCTGTTTCTCAGATTCTTTTTAAATAGCAAATGTCCTTCTTTTAGCTTAATTCATGTAAAATCAGAAAATAAATAAGTAGTTTTATGAAGAATAATTGGATAGTCTCTGATGTTATTCTACGATCTGCATTTTTAGACTGAATAATAAAAATCTGAGAGATAATCAAAAAAAGGAACTTATTGAGGATACTATCGATTACTAATGTTGCCTCGCACAGATCACCTGAATGAAATAAATAAAGCTTTAAATCTAAATTAAAGAAAACGGTAGATATCTTGTATCAAAATGATATATAATAAGTCAGACATTTGACTGCTACTAAGATGCAAGAGTAATGATTTTTAAAATTTCTTTTCGGAAAAGTATTTATTTAACACGAGAAATTCAAATGTTTGGAGGTCTATGAAATTGTTTTATTTCAAAGTCAAGGTGATGAGATCACTTAGTGAGTACTACTGATTTTAGATAGGAAAAGTACATTAGCCTTTAATGAACACTTTCAGTGTCTGTATTCAGTAAGGGATTTGGCATGATAGCTAAATTGAATAGGTTTTTACCAAGATGTTCCTCAGTTGATGGTATTTAGTAGTGAAATCCATGGTGTGCATTTCGTCCTTTGTGAAACTCGTCGCGTCCTCAGTAAGTTATGATGTTCCCACTGAAAATCGAATTCAGCACACATTGTTTCAAACGCCAAACAGTTATCCACTAGGCCACTGAGCATCTTGGACTGCACTGATAGCTACTATCAACCGAAAAACTTCATGTTGACCTTTAGACATCGTCTAGGCTTCTGCACTAGGAGCTGAAATATTAACAGTGGCCAAGCATTTTAGTCCAGTATACATCAGTTATGGGGAAATAGAAATAATTCAAACAAATGTTTTTGGATGACCAGTGGAGTCCACTCGGTGGGGGGTGAGGACAAATATTCGCTGATGACATTAGCTGGTGGTCGAGCCAGTAACACGAATTGGTGTTAGTTAGAATTTATAGGCTGGCTATTGAGGAGTCGAGTCCCAGTGGCTACATGGTCTACGAGCTTGTCTTGTAACCGGAGGGACCCGGGCTCGAACGCCGCTGGGTGGGTGTTGCCGGTGAGACGCAAACTGTGACGAAACAGCTGTCCAGTACTCCCTGGCCTTCAACAGTTCTCTAACTGATATCAATCCGTGGTCAAACATGTAACAAATCAAATCCCTACAAACTAACTCTTAGGATGGATCTTGAAGTTACAACCTGTAAATCTTACCCACACACACAGAGATATTAGAGTCTTCCGGCTGTTTCTGTTTCAGATTGTATATGAATCTATCTATTTTTTGTCTGCTTGACTTCTTCAATACAATATGAAGATCTGATGTAGCTATTTTGAAACTGTTACTGAAAGTCGATTATATTGATAAGAAATCATAAACTTTCTAACTTTTATTTATTTATTTATTTTCGGAATGAAGTAACTAATAATATTTGCCATTAAAATTCAATTTAATAATAACAGCTTTATTCTAGACAATATGTCAACATATATTACAGAATTTTCAGCGTATCTGAACGGCAAAATATCTCCTTCTCCTCATCCCACAGGATCTTCATGTTAAATGGTATTCTGCAGTACATTGTATGTGTGTGACTCTGTGTTATTCCATCTGAATCAATATCCTAATCTCTACTATATTTTTTCCTAATTTCTGTTGAGTAATGAGTGCTCTGCATTCCTGTAAATTAAAACTGTGTTCGAGTTCATGTATCGATTTAAAAACACAGTTAGATTAATAAAACAATAAGAAGAAATGCAGAAGAGTTTATGCGTTACACCGGATGGAAATTTAAGTAACCCAATAATTTAATCAGACCTCCAGAAATACCAGTCGTATGTATTCTACCTGAAGGATACTTCAAAAGTCTTTTAAAACTAACTACTACAGTATATGGTCGCGCTATGTCGTGAATTGACAGAAGTTAGAATTCATTGGCCATTGGATCGGGTCCCAGTGGCTCAATGGTCTACGAGCTAGCTAGCCTTGTAACCATAAGGTTCTGGGTTTGAACCCTGGTGGTGGGTGCGTACTGTGAAGAGTCCCAAACTAGGACAGAGGAAACAGCTGTGCAGTACTCCCAGGTTTTCCAGTGGTTCTCTGACTGATGTCAGCTCATGATGAAATCCTCCTTCCAATACTACAGTATAAACAGGTTTTTTTTTGTAGTACTTCGGAAACATTCAGTCTTCTGATCAAGTTGTTCTCTGATCAGGAGTTTTCATTGTCGAAGATAACAACTCAATTTTAGCATCTACACAGTGGTTCATAAGTGTTACTAGTCATATTTTAAATGTTTTACGCTGACTATTTTAGTTTGCTGTGTTAAATGATTGGAGGCAATCGGTAGGAAGCCTTGGCTATTCGGGCTCCTGACTGAACTCCTGTAGGACTACAAAAGAAAAGTTGAGTGATCACAAGGCAGCAACCAATGTCATGTGTCTAGTTCTTGGAGTTGGTGCAGACCGAATCGTATCAGTCAAGCCTGCAATGTGGTTATTATAGTGGGCGACGCACCACTGTACACTGAAATGATGTTAGATGATTAGGGGCAATCGGCAATAAGCCCTAGACCTAGATAGTGAATCACCTAGTATGGTCACCACACTGTGAACTTGACTGATAGAATTCAGTCTACACCTGCCAGTGACCAGTCAACTTATAAAAGTACATAAAAAGATATACTGTTCATACAGTAGTATTTGTTCCATATTGGGAAGGCGAAAGTAGGTATCAGTTTTGGCAACATTTTCCTTATTTGTTTTTTTGTTACTTTCTACTTTATATTAAGAACTTATTTCAAAGTAGTGCATTACCACTGCTAGCACGTTCAACAATTGACAGCAATCCAGTCTCCTTATGCCTTTTACCTAATGGATTCAATGAAAATGATACCTCAGATTCATCTATTCGTTTTGCTACAGTTTCTGGAAGAAATCCACAGAATGAAACTATTATAGATTCAAATAAATATCAATGTTGTAAAAAGAAAACATTTAGTGAAATTCGATTATGGCGCTTTAAATATCCATCAATAAAACAAGGATTAATTAAAGAGTTTAATGATATAACAATAAAAAATAAATATCATTTGTCTTCGTCACCGATTCCATTAACTGTACTGCTTAATTCATCTTTTCGTCATTCATTAAACTTTATAAGTTGTTGTATTAAATGTCAAATATTGAAATCTGATCAATTGAACAGTGGTGAGCTGAATTATTCCTTATTAGTTGGTTCATCAACAGGACATATTTTGGAGGTAAATTTTTTTTTAAATTGACGAATATTTTTTAAATATTGTTGTTTAATAAATGTTGCTTGCATAGTTGAAAAAATATATCTTGTAAGTGAAATGATCAGGTGAACATAGAGAAAACAGAGGTAGCTGATGAAGATTCCTGGCCAACAGCAACAGCAACAACAACAGACAACAATCAGCATTAATGGGAGAAATCTGAAAGAAGCAACCACCTACCTACCTGGGAAGCATCATTTCAACTACAGGTGGACGGAACTGATGAGGATATCAAAGCGAGGATCAGGAAAACAAGGCAATCTTTCATTACTCTCAAGTCTATGTGGAAATCAACAGCACTCAGTATGAAAATAAAAATAAGAGGCGGATTTTCAACTCCAATATGAAGTCAGTGCTACTATATACGGATCAGAGACTTGGCACCGAGTCACGAAGGCCACTTCGAACAAACTACACACCTTCTTCAACAGCTACTATTCAAGATCAGATGGCCAGAAAATATCAGCAATAGGGATCTCTGGGAACGAACGAACCAACCCGGCATGAACCAATTGTGCAACCAGTAAACAGAAAGAAACGGAGGTGGATTAGAGGTCATAGTCTGAGAAAACAAACCATCCAGTGACATCACACGTTAGGCTCTTTCTCGAGTGGAACCCGAATGGCAAGCGGCGAGTTGGTCGTCAGTGTGAGGGTGACATGGAGGAGGTAATGTGAAGAGGAGATGAAAGCATGTGGTTATAGATGTAGAGCCAGATGTAAACGTAAGCGGAGAACCTATCTCAGTGGAGACAATAGTAATAAGTGAAATGATCTCATTTGATGATATTATAAGATGAGTAGCACTCATCACCTACGGCCTCGCCTTCAATTTTTAGTGCTAAGAGAAAATTAAGTTAGCTGTTTGTTTACTCATGGTGTGGTTATGTATTTTCTTTGGAGTAATGATACATATATATGCGACAGTACTAATTAACTTTATTTTGTAACATTTAGGAGGTATTTGAAATAATTGTTTACGGTGGTTTTTAAAGATATACCATAACTGACTGAATGGATGATTTCAATGGAGAACTTTGAACAGATGTGCAGCAGGTGGAGTCGCCACTATCCCCCCTTTTAGCACACAAAGCAAAAGAAGAGAGTAAAGAGAGATAAACAGAAATATGAGGCAAAAAGAATAGTAATATGGAAGAACAATAGAATTTTATTGGGTATGACAAATCACAAAGAGTGGATGCATCTGTGCCAGCCTTTGAGAACGATTTTGATCCATATCACCTATTTTCTCCACTTCAGCCATTGGTGTTTGCCGTCCCAAGAACCCCAACCAGTCAGGAATTCTACACCTCCCTATGTGGCTTAAACTAACTGTTGCGAATTTCATTGACTTATCAAACCGTATTTTGGTTTGACCGCCACTGGCTCTTTTCCAACCTGATCCTATGTCAGCTAACATTGCCCGTCGAGGAGGACGATAGATGGCCGGCCAGGCGTGCGTAACACATGTCCTAATCATTCCAATCGGTATAACTTCACTATCTCGTCGATTGACTTTACCATAACAGCACTATTAATATAAATGTGCGTTTTTCCGCATCTCTTGCTGAAACAAAATATCAATTAGAAATGAGTGTTTTGTTTTATCATAACATATTCTCCTGTTTTCATTGTATACTGAGTGTCAGACTGCTGGCTAGGAAGGATAGGTGACAAGAGACTCTAGCAAGCGTCAAACCAATCAAGAACCTGTCACCCAATAAATGGAAGTGGATTTGAGCACACGTTGAGGAGACCGTCTAGTAGAATCAAGTGCCACGCAGGTCGTCGAGTATAACCCAACGGGATGGACGTGTCCGAAGGTGACATGGAGGAGATCATATGAAGGAGAAATGAAAGCGAACAAGCAATCTTGGAGCCAGGTAAAAAGGACTGCAGAGAACTGAATGAAATGGAGATGTATTACCAAGAACCTTTAATCCATTCGGAATTATTTATTGGCAGCTCTGTATACAGATATCGACAAAATACATCTACCAGCTATTAGCATCTCAATCTTCGGTATTGTGCTTCTTTGTCTACCTCTTGTATATACCATGTCGTTTCAAAAACATCGTTTGCTAAATCCATCTTCCCGCTATTTGATATTCTTGCACATAATGTACATATTTATATCTGCATCCATATACTACTTATAAATCTTGGGAGTAGCATACACCACACGTTTACATGAATTATATTTCTTTCATTAGTTAACAGGGGCAAGTATTTTCGCCCATCATGTATATACTTCCAGTGCGATTCACAGTGATTTTTTACCGTTAGGTGATGCTCGGTCATCATAGGAAGCGTAAAAGTAATGAGTTTCCATGATAATGAAAACTTAAATATGGACAACAAGTGAATTTTATGTATACTTCTTTCTCTTACAATTTTGGCTAATTGCGAAATGAATAGTACTCTTGTTGTATGAGCTTCATTCACCTATAGAGCTATTCGAGCTATCTAATATTAGTGGTTCTGTTGGAGGTTTAGTGTTAAATGCGGATATATATATATATAATCTTCTCTTATGTAATTGTGGCAACTGGTTGCTTCTACTGTCAAAAAGGGGATAATCTTCTAAATGATGACTTCCCAGTTTATAGCTGATTTTTTTATTCCTTTACGTTCCCAGTGGAAAATTGGGCTTCAAGCTAGAGACTTGAAGTTTCGGTAGCAGTGGTGTTTTACTTTTATGGGATGGGGTCGCTAACCTCCTGCCCAACTTTCCCTCTTTACGAGTCTTGGTACTGACTTAGCGAGGTAAAGGAGTGCGTCGGCCCGCGATCGAACTCCGAACCACGTGAGGCGTGTTTGGCGAGCATTTTACCTCTGTGCAGCCGATGCGGTTTTTAGTTGATAGCCTAAACCAATGAGCATTACAAAGATGAGAGCTGTTCATACACTGCCTGTTTAACCTATAACAAGTTAAAAAGTGTTTTTTATACTTTGATTTTTCAGATCGATCCGAATCTCTTCTGTATTTCAAATGTGTATCAATTAACTAGAAATTCCCAAGAATATGATTCAAACACAGTTGATTTACAACTTTTAGCCTCTAGAGAATTTATCAATGATCAATGGATTTTAAACTTTCAAAATAAATTGAATAATTCAAAAGGGAATCTTATCCCAATTACTTCACTTCATTGGATATATCCTGGAGGCAATTTTTCATTAGGCTGGTTAGCTATATGTACACAAGATGGTTGTATTATTTTATGGGACCTAGCGAATTCAACAGATCCAGTTATACTTTCAGTCAAATATCCATCAATCATTTCTGCTGTTCATTCATGTTGGAAGAGTGAAGTTGGTGAGGCTGGTAAATCTCTGCATCAAGTTTTCATTGCTATAGCAACCTGTTCTGGAGGTCTTGCTTGTCTTGATTTAGATTTTAAGTATAATATTCAGAAAAATGTTATTACTGCTGATAAATTAGAAACAATGAATGAATTTACGCTGATTAAATGCACTCCTAGACGCCTTTTATCATGGCAAGCTTACAGTGCTGTGATAGCTGCTGATATGATTCAGTCGGATAAAGTAGGATCACAGTGTGTGTTAGCTACTTTAAGCGCTGATGGGTAAGTTGTTTCAACAATGAGCAATATGCATATTTCTTTAATGGTGTATCATTTTGAAATTTGAGTTATAACTTCACTCACAAGTATAAATCACTAATTTAGCAATTTTAAGATAAGTTCAGTGTTTTTGTTGCTGATTTTTCTTACAGTCTTTTCGTCAATTAAAAAAATATCAGAAGTAAGCATTAATGCATCACACACACTAAAGTATAAGAGGTGTTATTAATTGATGCATTCTTTTGTTTGTATTCAGAAAGATATTTGTGGGAATTTCGAATTCCGCACATCACTATTGCAGAAAGTTTGACAGGGAAGAAAGGTGCCTACTGGTTGGAAGAAAGGCTGCCTTGTCAGACTACCAAAGAAGGGCAACTTAGGCTTTTGCAAAAACTGGCGTGGAATCATGCTTGTATCCATGTCGAACAAAATATTAAGTTGTGTTATCCTGTAGAGACTAAAAGATTCTCAGGATGCAAACCTACTCCCGGAACAGGCTGGATTCAGGAAAGACAAATCATGTAGTCATCGAATTGCAACTCTACGCATCATCATCATCACCACGGAACAAAGCATAGAAACTCTATCTCAACCTCCTTCATCGACTTCGGAAAGGCCTTTGACAGTGTTGACCGAGACGTAATTTGGAAACGACTTCAACACTACGGCATGCAATGCCCAAGCCTTTATCAACCTCATTCAACAACTACATGACATTGCTATGTGTCAAGTGATCCACAACGGAAAACTCAGCGAGGCGTTTAAAGTGAATACAGGAGTAAGACAAGGCTGGCTGCCTATTATCACCGATGATATTCTTAATTGTGGTGGACTGGATTATGCGGAAGACTGTGCGAAGCGAGGTGACAGGCGTAAATTAGATCGATAACAAGACTCTAGAAGGTTTGGACTTTGTGGACGATTTATGTTTAATGTCACACACACACTCGAATACCTACAGGCGAAAACCAACAAGTTGTCAGAAGAAGTAGGCAGCAAAGGTAGGACTTCATGAGAACATAAGGAAGACAGAGGTGATAAAGATAACCAACCACCATCAACAACAACAAGCAACAATCATCATCAACGGGAGAGATTTGAAAGAAGTTACCTCCTTCACTTATCTCACCAGGCGACCTCGTTTCAACTACATGCGGGGTTTTATTAAGTATAAAAATCACAGTCATTCTCGAAATGCTCAATCACATGTGAATCTAATATAGACTGTCAATGACACTGGCGAAAATCGACAATAATTGTACGATTATTACTATCTTCAAAATTCCCAAGACACATTACTGACCTTTATTGAATTACTTTCTCCTCTCATCGGTTATAACAGTTCATATTGGTTTTGCTTGATTACTGTTCACTATTCTTCTGTGTTGTTTTGCAGAATGTCAACTTGAATTATTTCAGCTGAATGCAGAACGTGAAGCCATTCTATGTTGCTTGTCAAATCTAAGGATGTGTAGTTTTGTAAACCTAAGTTGGTTATAATAGCTATGTTAACATAAAATACTTAGTCAGTTAATACTGCACATTTATTTGGATACCTCTTCACTTTTTACTGCATAATCAATAATAACAGCTTCATTCTGAATAGTGTTCATATAATGAACAGAATTTTCAGTGGAGTTTATTGTATGATATTTTCTCTTCGTACGGGGTTTTCAAATAAAATAAAAATTGACAGGAGATTATGTGATACAGTGCTATCTGACCTGAAGCGCAAATTAATCCATTATAATATTTCTTCAAGAAATGCACGACATTTGGTTGAATGTCAATTATAAAAAGTTCAGGAGCACATTTTTGAAAACCAGGGACATAACTCCGGAACAGATATCTCATTTATTGGGATTCACTGCTCCCCACTCCTCCCAACACACGATTATGTTTCTTCTCATGTTTTGTAGAAACTGGCGAATCAGCAGGTTGTAAACATTTTAAATACTCGCCAGAGTAAACAATGCTACTAAAGGTCATATTTTACTAGATTTAAACAAACTGGACGAGAGAGATTATAAGCAATATATTAGTGGGATTTTTCGTTAGCCCAAGTTTTAAGCAAAATTTTTCCAACTAATAGGGCACATTGTCATAGACATTTGTTCGATTGCATAATACATATTCTGCGCTACTCAGTAGGTAACTGCTCGAAACACCATTGGTTGACTTACCTTTATCCTCTAATCTCTAGACTGTTCATTTGATGAACATACTACCTAACTGATGCTATAAGGCTAACTAAATATTGCCCAAGTGGCTGATTGGTCAACGAACTTGATCTTTTAGCCTGAAGGTCTCGGGTTCAATCCTTGGGGTTGTTGTGGGTACTCACTGCTGAGGAGTCAAACTAGAGCGAGATATCTGTTCAGTGTTCTCTGATTGATGTTCATTCCTGATGAAATCTAAATTGAAGTTAATCCGCATCCTTATAAAAATTCATAATCTGTATGTCAGTCTTCAGATCATTGACGGCTGTTGGATGGATGTCCTGAAGCTGTAGTCAAAATTCATGACCAGTGGAGTCCATCACGCTAGGATAAAGTGGAGGCTCATCAAAGGCATTGGGGAGGGTGGTACTCTTTCACGAATTCACAAATTTATTTTCGGCGGGTCACTGTATTCCGCCACAAGTGGCTGAATGACCAGTGAGCTTGATCTCTTAACTTAAAGGTCTCGGGGTTTGACGCCTGGTGGAGTCGTGAGTATGTACTGATGGGGACCCCAAAACTGCAATGGAACAGCTGTACAGTGCTCTCTGGTTTTCAGTGATCTCTTTCCAGCTGATGTTGGTTCATGACAAAATCTAAACTGAAATTAAATTAATGCTCACGAGCTTTGTAATCTCGCACTTTAAGTGTAGTATGCAGTAGTGCACAGTACTTTTGTCTTCTGAATTGTATTCACTTCCATTACCAGTGCCTCAAGTATAATAAACTGTTGTAGTTCTTCAAATTTCATTTTAAAGATAATCTTGAAGAAATGAAGAAACGTCTTAGACGAATGGAGTTATCAAACCATCTAACTACAACTTTTCTCCATGATCCTAGAATCACCATGATATCAGGTCTAGACTATATTCTCAGAATCTTAAATTGTCATTCAAAGTATTCAAGTGGCCTTCTCCGTTGTCAGCATACTCACAGCGTAGGAGCACTCAAATTCCTCCATTAAAAGTTCCAAGAAGTGAAAAAGATTATTTCATCTTTTACATGATAACGATCCTTCTCTCCCTATATAAAAGTAAATAGGTTTTATGGTACTGTCTCCTTTTAGTAGTGAAGTGCGTAAAGTAACCAGAAGTAGGTTAAAAGTTACTGCTGCTCATGAAATATGTTCCTCCGGTTCGCAATTCAGATAAAATAGTTATTTAATATCGAAGTAAAATAATGTTATTTAATATAGTAGATGTCTACATTTTTATTTTTTCAGGATTCTTAGAATTCGAAATATTTCATCATCTTCGTCTTCAATCAGTCAACATGAAGCTAATAATAACAGTAATAATAAAAATGTACCCAAAATGCCGGGTATTCTTGAAGATTCTAATACTGCTGAATTGACGGAGGATCCATTAATCGACTTGGTTATACCCGATGAGATACCATCACACATTGTTATTCAACCAAGATTAGATTGGTCAAAGTCAACAGTTATCAACAACGGAAATGATCAAATCTCTTGGTTACGTATTGTGTGCGGTTATCCTGGCAGTGGATTGATTCGTGTTTTTTCTCCGTCAAATACTAAAATGCTTAAAGAATTAGATTTCCATAAAGGTTATGATATAACAGGTAACATATGTATCTATATATATTTTGATTCGTTTCTCAGTAAAGTCTCAAACACATTTTACTTCTTTGCAATAATTCATTGTGTTGATTACTGCGATTTTTATTGAGTTTTCAATGCCGAAAGTGAAACTTCCTGTAGACAGGATATATATACGGAGAGAGATATTTTCGGTGAATAGTTATTACAGGCTTGATCACTAGCTGATATCAGTTAGAGAACCATTGGTAAATGAGAGAGTACAAGACATCTGTTTCGTCCTAGTTTGGGACTCTTCATCGGTACGCACCCAACGGGGTTCGAACCCAGAACCTTCTGGTTACAAGGCAAGCTCGTATACCATTCAGCCACTGGGACCCGATCCAATGGCCAGTCCATGAATTCTAACTTCTGCCAATTCACGATATAGCGCAACCATTAGCCAATGTCATTGGTGGCGAGTATTTGTCCTGACACTCGACGTGCTGCACCCTACTGGTCACGACTTCCCACTGGAACCCCAGGTAACTACCTACCTACGAGCTCGTATACCATTAAGCCACTGGGACCCGATGGTTCCAATGGTACTCTAACCAATGTCAGCTCATGATGAAATCCTGTAACCAATCAACCAAATCCCTACTTGATAATTCATCTGATACTCACTAGCGACTGACTCTTTACATAAAGTTACCTGGAGTACTGGTGAGAAGTCGTAGCTAACGGGGTCCACCAAGTCATGCCTATGACATTGGCTGGCGGTTGCACTCTACATATCTCGCGAATTGTAAGATTTTGGCATTCATGGGCCATTGGGTCGGGTCCCAGTGGCTGGATGGTCTACAAGCTCGTCTTGTAACTGGAAGGTCCTGGGTTCGAACCCCAACGGATATGTACCTATGAAATCGTCCGAGACTGGAACAAAACAGGTTTGCAATAGCCTGTGGTATTCCAGTTGTTCTCTAGGGGATGTCAGCTCCTAGTCAAACCTGTAAGCAATCAAATCGCTGCAAACCAACTCTTGAGTGTAATTATCAAGCAGAACAGTTATCATGATACATTTTGTTTATTATCATTATTATTGTTTCCTTTAATTCTTAGAGGAACATAGGGTTTCAGCCGTGCGTCTCCATTGCATTTGGTTCTCTTCTAGAGTCTTCACCTGGCTCCAAGTCTGTCCACACGTTTTCATCTCCTCTTCACATGACCTCCTCCAAGTTACCCCTGCACTGACGACCAACTCACCGCTTCCCTTTCGGTTTCCACTCGAGCTATGGCTTGTCTAGTGATGTCACTTGATGGTTTCCTCAGAGTATGGCCAGTCCATCTCCATTTGTTCCTGCCTATTTGTTTCACAATCGGTTCCTGCTGTGCTGGTTCTCTCCCAGAGATCTCTGTTGCTGATCTTTCCTGACCGGCCATCTGATCTTGAGTATTGAGCGAAGAGAACTGTTAATAAAGGTCTGTATTTTGTTTGAGATGCTCTTTATGACGCGCAGTGCAAGTCTCTGATCCATATAGTAGCACTGACTTCACATTGGAGTTGAAAATCTGGATCTTATTTTTAATGCTGAGTGCTGTTGACCTCCACACAGACTTGAGAGTAGTGGGAGCTTGTCTCGCTTTCCCGATCCTTGCCTTGATATCCTCGTCAGTTCCGTGGGCCTGTAGTTGAAACGATGCTTCCAAGGTAGGTAAAGGAGGTTTTCTTTCAGGTTCCTCCCATTTATGCTGGCTGATTGTTGTCTGTTGTTGTTGCTGTTGGTGGTGATGCCAGGAATCTTCATCACATCTGTTTTCTCTATATTCACCTGAAGTCCTTCTTGTGTTTGATGCTTCTTCTGTCAACTTGTTGCTTTTCGCTTGCATATCTTCCAGTTTGTGGGAAATCAGACATATATCATCGGCGAAGTCCATATCCTCCAAGTTTTTTGTGTGAGTCCATTTTATGTCTGTTTCCTCATTGCCCGTTGTTTGTCGCATTATCCAATCTACTGTAATCAGGAAAATCATTGTCGATAGTAGGCAGCCTTGTCTTACTCCTGTCCTCATTTCGAAGGGTTCCGTAAGTTTCCCGATGTGGATTACTTGGCATGCAGCATTGTCGTACAGCTGTTGGATGAGATGTATAATTGTCGGTGGCACCCCATTTTATTTAATTATCAGTCATTTAATCGGGAAAATATATTTACTGCTAATTGTGAGCATTATTAGGTTAATTTTGTTAATTACGCTATCAAGCAGACCAAGCTTATTTTGTTTTTCCAATGAACACCGGATCAATAAATATTTGAGGGTTCTGTCAGACTACTCATGAGTAATTAAATACCCAAAGTAACAATCTTTAAAAATTTAGGGGACTACAAATTGAGCGATAAAATAATTACTTTTTAACTAGATCCTTATCACTGGCTCTACAACACGTAATTTACCAATCTAGTGATGATAACTTTCTTTTAAATAGTTAGTCGATGTCAGTAATTTTTTCAAAATAAAAAATATTTATTGAAGCCCGGTGGTTTCCGTTCACATTCTGGAAATGACAGTTTTTTCGGGATATCAATAATTGAATTGTAACGCAACGCTCGGAGAATGTCGTTAAAACAGCATTCAGTGCAGTTAATTTATACTTTAGCTTCAATAATAAACCAAAGTAACTATTCTAAGTGATGTCATAATTTTGTTTAATTTTGAGGTTTTAGAGTCGAAAGTGTTTCCTAACAGAATTAAACAAGTTGATTATGAAATAAACCAGGGAGTACTGGACAGATGTTTCGTCCTAGTTTGGGACTCATCGGCAGTACGCATCCACTGGGTTTCGAAACGGGGACTTATCTTGACCAGTGGTGGTCCATCCAGTCGGGAGTGAGGATGGAGTTCCCGCCGATGACATTGGTTGGTGGTCTCGCTAAAATCACGAATTGGTAGAAGTTAGAATTCATGGACTGGCCATTGAATCGGGTCCAAGTGGCTGGATGGTATACGAACTTGGCTTGTAACCGGAAAGTCCTTGGTTCAAAACCCAGTGGGTGCGTACTGATGATGAGTCCCGAACACCTAGGACGAAACAGTAGTCCAGTACTGCCTGGTTTTCAATGGTTCTCTAACTGATATCAATCTGTGGTCTAATCTGAAGAAAATACAATCCCTAAAATCTTATTCTTGAATATTAAATAAACGACGGTGCGTCGGTGCCATAGCGGTTTGGACGCTCGCCGACCATGCACATGGTCCGGAGTTCGAACCCGGCCGACGCACTGCTTTACCTCGCTAAGGCAGAAATAATGCTGGCGAAGAGGAAAGGTTGGGCATGAGGCTAGCAATTCCATCCTGTAAAATAAACCCTGCTACAGAAACTTCAAGCCACTAGCTTGAAGCCCTATGTTTCACTGGGGAAGGTGAAGGAAAAAATTAATAAAAATAAAATATATAAACGACTGTTGATCAAAGACTTAATGAGAAATGGCACGTTGCATTCTCGATGTTTAACATTTGTGTACTATTTGGCTACTTAGACAATGAAATATTCACGAGTTATTAGATAACTATACTTATGATCACATATACAGACCTATACAAAATTTTTAAACGTCAGTTACTGTCCCTTCACTTCATTAGGATTTCACGAAGACATTTTCTTTCTAACACGTTTCAGTATTACAAAAAATGACCTCGTAAACTGAACTCAAATGAGTCTTAAAAGTAGAACCTTGCATATAAGCGTAGCAGTTCAAGTTGCCACACAAAGATAAGGGAGAAATATAAATAAACTATGATAAACGGAAATGTACGGGAATAAGAGTGAGCACATCCAGAGTAATGAGGATCTAACGGATTTGGGATACTAAAAAGTGTGAATACATCCGCACCACTGGAAACCGTTCTGAGCTATAACACCAAAAGTCTCTAGCCGTTGATGTTAAACATCCCGAGGACCCCAACCAAGCAGTATACGCCTCTATATGTGGCTCGAAACTTTGTGGATTGATTTTGTCACCCCTAACTCTTTTCCCACATAATCCCATGTCAGCTAACATTGCTCAACGAAGAAGGCACTGGAATGGTGCACGTGACACGTGCCCCAGACATTTCAATCTGTATAGCTTCACAACCTCACAAAATGACTTTCCCACCTTACCTAACTCTCTACATCTAACCTCAATAATTACTCAGTAACAGGTTTGAATTCTTATGTGAGTGTGGTTACCTTTCAAGTCTACTAACTGTGGTATTATACATATACCGAAAGGAAATCTCATGTAGAGTTCAGCTTATCACATAAATCTACTGCTGAAGACATTTAACTGTTGCCATCGAGCAATAAAAATTCACTCTTGAAATGGAAAACGAATCAAAAATTCCGTTTCTTGATGTGGAACTAACAAGAAGAACTGATGGGACCTTAAGAAGATCGATCCATAGAAAAGCTACTTGAAATGGTTAACTAACAAGCTTCTATAGCTGGGTACCCATTCAACAAAAGCGGAATTTAATGAAATCACTTGCCACTCGCATCCGACGCATCTGTAGTTCCGATGTTCTAGAAACAGAATTAGATATTTTGTGAGAAATCTTCATCCAAAATGGATACCCAATAAGATTCATTGACAAAAATATCAAACCAAGAATTTGGAGAAATGAAACTTCACTTGCACCGAAAAAGAAAATCTACATGAACTTGGATTTCAAGGGAGATTTAGCAAGAGATATTCTCAAGAGAAGGATCACATCATCTGTGAGAAGAACATTCTTTGCAGCAACGCTAAGAACACTATGTTCTCCAGTCGCCCACTGATCTGCAGAAGCCGTAAGGACAAGATCTCACATCTGACCACTTCTATGTGCATATATCAGTTCACCTGCTACTATGCAGCCAGATACATCGGTCGTTCGACGCGCATCCTGTCCAAGAGGATTCAAGAACACTACCCAGCATGGTTGCGAAAAGGCAGTATTCCTGCTATAAGGAGTGCGATAATTGAACACCTGGTTAACACCGATCATTCCATCTCAACAAACGCCTCCTGCTTCAAAGTAATCTACAGAGTCAAGAATAACCTACCAAAGGCAATACGGTTTCGTCTTCTTTGTATCGCTGAAGCTCTGGCCATTCACATAGAAAAACCAGAGCTGTGCATACAAAAGAGAATTACTCAACCACTTCTACTATCATGGTAACAACTTTGTTGATTTTTGATGACTTAATTTTGTTTGTTTGCCTGTTTCTTTAATTGCTTATAATTCTTGTATTCATTTAGAACTCTTACGTAATTTCGTATTCTCTACTTTGTTCCTATGTGTATCCTGAGTACAACTCAATCATCAAACTATTCATATTATTACGTAACTCCTTTTTAACAAGTGTTTGTGACAACTCATCACCTTTGTTACTACACTAGCTTCATTAACACCCAATTTTCTTGACCGTTTTTGTATTACGTAACTCTACCCAAGACTTACTAATCTTCACCTGTTTAGTTAAAATAACCATAACCAATTGTATTTTTGTTTGACAAACTTAATGTACACATGCATACAAAATAACTCATATATATTTGCGATTGTACAGCTAAGAAAATGAATTCGCCGTCGAAAAGAGACTCTTCGCTGAACTACGTGTTTTGTTTTCATAAATCGATCTAACTAAAATTCCACCAATTCTATTATTTTGCTCTTTATTATTTCTTTGTTGAACAGCACTGATGTTTTCACCCTGTGGTAATTATCTATACACATCGGATAGTTCAGGACAACTAGCCGCCTGGAGAATAATAGTGAATAATGATGCAGAAAATTCCTGCGAAATTCTATTGATGAATTCATTAAACCATCATATTTGTATATTTAAAAGCATGCAACCTATGATTATGAAAGAAGATAATAACAGTATCAAATTATCGGAAACTAAACAAAGTATTATTACTATATGTTCAAAAGGTTTGTATATTGCCTATATGGGACCACAAGTAGGCAATGTTACAATTGCTGAAGCAGTGAACCTGTCAACTGTTGTACAAATTGATTTATTTCATTTAATATCAAAGGTAAGTTGATTTAAATGATAAATTGTCTATTTCATGAACAGTTTAAACTTTAGACACCCTCAAGAGGTGCCAACGTATCAGTGATCTTGGAGGTAGCCATAAGGGTGCTGAAAAGTAAATTTGGTCCCCTAACTCAACCCTAAATCTTATCATTCCTTAACTTAACTAACCCTAAGCCTAATCTATGCATATCCTTATTCCAGTTTATTTCTAACCAGTTCCAGTGTCTCCCCAATTAGGTTAACTTAAACCTAACTTGTCTCTAGCCTAGAACTAATCATAATCTTTCGCTAACCTAACGTGACCTAAAACTGACCAAATACCCTGTTTAATATCCTTTCACTTCACTCAATTTGTTTTCATGAATATAATGTTGTTTCCCTGGTTTCACTGCCTTGGTCTTACTGAGCGTACCATGATCATTAGTACGTCAGTGTCTGTCGGGTGTCTGAATTTTAACTTCGCCTTGTTTCATTCTGATATGACCTGTTAAACGTCGTCAGATTCGTTAAATACTGCAAACAACAACACTAGACTGATCTAGACACTGAACATAGTAGGCAAGCCAATGGAAGACCGAAGACTGTTCACAATCCTAAATGCCTTCTGCTGCCATCAGCCTACGAAAGAAACCCAGAAGACATGACTGACCAATGAGAATACAACTTTATTAGATGAAAAAATATACTATACGTCTACACTGACAGTAACTAATTTGATTGGTTGTCTAAGGTCAGGCATCTGGATGCACAAGGTCAGATATTTGTCTGTCCAATCAAATTATCAAAATATCCTCCTCTATAGCCAATCACTTAAATTTGTTTACTGAGGTTCATGCCGGCTTTAGTCTGCAAAACATAGTAATTTTGAGGTTAGGTGAAAAATTAAGAGTACATAACGCATTCTAATTTCGATATTATGATCATATGGGTCGTACAATGAAGAGGACTTGCAATCAATTTACTATCAATCAAAATTTTGGTGTCTCTCTAAAAATTATTAAAAGTTCTTACGACAGGACACTTGATTAGATTACTGATTCTAAAAGACTGCTAGCTTCTCGAGTAATTTATTTATTTTTCCTGACAATCAAATGGAGAATGTGGCCACTAAGCTAACTGACATGATGTATCACACTTTGGTATGTTTTTTTTTTATGTGCCAGATGATAGAAGTCAGCAGGAGGCCTCAAAATAAAAGATTTCTATTCGTTGAAAGTTATCGGCATCACTTCTGCACAAGCTTGTGTGAACTTTCGCCCACTCAGGTTAAAACTACCATCGTTCGATTTTGAAGTAACTTGACGAATCAGCTGCACTCTACCATGATAATCAAAAGAAGAACAATCTACTGATGAAAAGCGATTCTGAAAATCAAAAAGTTTAAGAGAGAAATTCTAATTATTAAGTTCATTGATACCTACCAAGACAGGTTTGAGGCGTAGATCATCATTCGCGGACACTTGGTCTTGATAGCGGTATATTCCAGAAAACTTGAATCAGGACGTCACTAATGGGTTTCCCTGTGGAATTGTGAATGCAAACTGCTGGCGGATTCCGAACTCAGCGGAAACAGCTGTCCAATGTTTCTTACTTTTCAATGATTCACTGGTTAAAAGCTTCGAAAAACTTCAGTTAAAACTAAAGATTAAATTATTTCCTGTCACTTATAGCTTTTACTGCTGGGAATTGTGATTGACACTCTACTAAACAGCTATCCGATCGATTATGTACAATTTCTTGAATTGTAATCACTGTAGTTGACATGGTGGGATTGATTCATCCATCCTGTCGATCACATTATAAATACTATTTCGCTTTGTTATATCAAGTAAAGATTAACATAGTGCCTAAAGTCTACACTAAAGTTCGCTAGTGAACAGAATTTTTATTGATAAAATTATTGAGACTGCTGAATGGGACTCGGTATTTATGGTATTAAGAAATTGAAACAAGGTAAGTGTAATGTAATAATTGAAAGAAATGATTTGGAATACATCTACAACTTTATCAACAACATATTTGAAGACATTAAATTCACAAGAGAAGAAGAATTAAACAACAAAATTCCATTCTTAAATGTTTTAATCAAGAGAATTAACACAGAAGATATGGAAATGCAACATATAGAAAATCAACACAAACAGATCAAATACCCAACTATAATATTAATAACCCCATTAGCCACAAAAGAAACTGTGTGCAGACATTATTTAAAAGAGTTCAAACACACTGAGCACTCCAGTACTGTAGAGAATAGAAGAGAAATGTTTACTAGCTGTCTTCAAGAAGAATAAACACCCATGCAACTTGTTTCAATTCAAATCGAAAAACCAACAAGGAACTATCCTTAAAGATCACAAGAAAATTCTTTCTGTCATTTTATAACAGCTAGAATATTGAGATGTAGCATACAAGCCAGCCAGCCAGCCATCACAATCACTTCATTCAATACTGTACCAGTCAAAAGATCCAAAAGGAAAAGAATATAAGATCAACACCATCTAAACTGCATAAACTGTAATAATCAAAGTGGGCATCTTCTTCGACTTCGAATCCAAGAACATAAACCAGCTGGAGAAAAAATATGACATTTGTTTTTTCATACCAATACATGTGGACAATTAAGGATGCTAATTTAATTGGGAGAAAGAATAAATTTTAAACAGAGGAAACACCAAGAATACTGCCAGGGGATTTCTAGAAGCCTGGTACTCAGAAGGATCAACGGCTAACAAATACATTAGTATGGATTAAATTTACCAGCTAATAAAACATAAACCACATGACGAGATAGTTCAAATTCCAAATGAATAAAAGTGATCAATGTTAACTGACAATCGATCACGACAGTGATTGTCAGGAGATTATTATTGTTATTATTATTCCCTTGGGTTCCGAGTGGGACATAAGGCTTCAACGAGATATCTCCACTTTGTTTTTTTCCGCTGTCCTCTTCAACTGGGCTCACGATTGCTCGTGATCTCTTATCTCTTCCTCGCACGACCTCCTCCATGTCACCCACGCACTGACGACCCACTTATTGCTTCCCATTGGGATTCCACACGACCAATAGCCTGCACTGCTCACGATGTCATTCGACGGCCTCCTTAATTTATGCCCGATTCAACTCCATTTTCTCCTACACTTTTGTTGAGCAATCGGCTCTCGCCGGTTGGTTTGTTCCCAGCCAGAGTTTTTTAATTGCTAATTCTTTCTCGCCGGCTGGCTGGCCATTTGATCTTCAGTATAGAGCGATCGAAGGGGACAACTGTTGATAGAAGTCTGAAGCCTGTTTGAAATCCTTTTGGTGACACGCAGCGCAAGTTTCTGATCCGTATAGAAGAACTGACTGACTGACTTCACACTTGTGTTGAACAGAATCCGAATTTTGTTGTTTATGCTGAGTTAGTGCGGAGGATTTCCAAACTGGCTTCAGGTTGATGAAGGCGTATCTTGCCTTTCTGATTCTGACTGGCTGTCTTTGACATCTTCATCCGTTCTGACTGCCTGTGGTTGAAACCGTGCTTTCTAGATAAGTAAGGGAAGTAACTTCTGTCATATCTCTCCAGCTGATGGTGATTGATAATGGTTGGTTACCTTCATCACCTCCATCTTCTCTATGTTCATCTGGAGTCCCATCAGGAGATACAATTGTTAAATTAGTTGTGTTCTCTGAGTTGATCGATTTAATTACGAAGTTTTTGTCGTCGTTCTTCTAGACCACATCTTCAGTGCATGGAGAATTCAAACAAGTTTATTTCATATTAGAGGCTGCTCTGAAGATGTTGTCTAGAAGGACAACGAAAGCTTCGCAATTAAAAATCAACCAACTCACAGAACACAACTAAACTAAAATCATCTCCCTTGGATACAGGTCCTCTCTATTACTTCATGGAGATTGTTCAGCCTACTGGCTGTAATTCTTAAGATAAGCGCCTCATTAAGGACTATTTCCGCCAGTATTTTAACTTCTGTTTCCTATCTGAGTGAATATTACCAATAATGATTTAAAAATAAAAATAAATTTATTTTAACTAATAATTTATTGTTTTACTAATTCTATTTCTTTCTTAAGTATTTCCAAAAAGATGATTCAACTGTCAAATATAATGATACCAGTTATTTTATGAAATCATTGCATTATATTCAATTCATTCGACAAGTTAATAATAATTCAAATAAAAAGAATTCTTGCTTACTATTTGTTTGTACATCACGTGGTCACTTATTCAAATTCACTATACCTAGTGGAAAATTAATCAGTTGTGCAGAATTTCCCATTGTTTCTCAATCAACAAACTCAGAGATTTATATCAGTGCAATGAAAATTAATCCTAATAGTGGACATACCTTACTATTATCTGAAACATGTAAGTTGATGCATGTTAATTATTGCATAACTGAACTAATATAATAATAATAATAATAATAATAATAATTTGCTTCATTCCAAAACAGTACTTGTGATACAGAATGGAATTCTCAGCATTTTACTACAGTATTGCATCCAGTTAGTACATTATCAATAAATAAAATTCTACATAGATTAAGGAAATCTCAGTTCATTATGACAACAACATATTGGCATGTCGGTAGCAAAGCCAAAGCTGAACAGTGTTTGAAGGTGTTAGAAAAGTAGATGCTGTCGTATTTACTGGCGTAAGCGGAAGAAAGAAACAAAACAGCACATAACAGAAAAGAGAGAGAGAGAAAAGGAAAAGAAAGAAAGAAAACGTTGTACCTATAAATGATATGAGTTGGAAAGACGAGATCCAGTTGTTCTACTGACTATTTAATAAGTTATAGGTATCACGCCTAATGCTTTCTTTATCGCACAGAACACGAGCTAGGTAGGGTATGGTTGATTTTTTGTACTTGCTCGTGCGAGCATATAGTTTTCTATATAGGCTTCTGGTTTTGCCTGATGAGATGTAAGGGGAGAGTTGTGAGTGAAGAGGGTGGTGTGAGTTAGATAAAATGGATTTGGCCCATTTTTCACATGAGTCCATATGCCTGTCAACCAGAATATTAACAAGCTGGTTAAGTGGCACGTTGCTTACCCTGCTGACAACCTTTAACATCCTGCGTAATATGTTATAGTCTTTCTTCAGTAGCCCTGGAAAAACAAAGGGGGATTAATAGAGAATAATAGGCAGGATGCAAGAGTTAACGAATCGTAGGAGTAAGGGTTGGGTTATTCTAGAATGTCTTAACTTTTTGATGTAGAAGGTAAGAGAAAAGATGGAGAACAAGTGTATTTCCAGAAATTGTTTTCAATGTTATAAATTCTTTGTATATGATTGTTAACCTGTCTTCAACCATAAAACTCGATGAAAAAGAGTTGTGTTGTAAGTTGAAAGCAATACATGCTAAAATGTTAAGTACAATTTGACATAAGTATAAAACTTGGGCGCTCTGGCAGAATATAACTCCATTATGGATAAGATTTTATTTTGATAAAATCACACAGTGTTATACAGTAATATTTACATCTAACTACGTTTCGAGCACAATCTATTACTGCTCATAATCATATCAAGGCACTACTCACACAACTTTCTTGCTTCATTTATATACATGAGTGAAATTGATGATTAGACATTTGAATGAAAGCAATATAAGATAAAGCACATTCGGAAGGAATATTAGTGTCATCAATCAAATACAATCAGATGGGATATAAGATGTTTTTATAGTCAAAATAAATAACTTGTTGTAATGTAAATTGAATACATTTTAACATTATTTATTATCCTCCTGTGATTTGACTGGTGGTAGTAATATCTTCCATGCATATCTCTGGTATTTGCATTGAGTCACTTTTATTGCATTTGTTGTGTTGGGTATAGACCTGATGAACGAGGATTCAGAAATCAATCTCTCTCTTTCCACCTGCCTATATTACTTTTTAGAATTTTGACTCTGTCCTACTCTAATGTGTGAATGTGTGTTAATGCATGCATTATGATTCCTGAATTTTTCCCCCGTAAATTGCTTATTTTCGTGGGATCAATCATTCTAACCTTAGTTAAATTCTTATGTTCTGATAGGCAGTCTCACTACTCCTGATCTACTAGTTTGACCTATGTAGTTGATCTCAGTCACAGTCATTGCAAGGTATTTTGTAAATTCTATTATTTTGTTTAACTGGGCCCACTGGGTCCTTTAACCTACCTACAGAGCTTGTCCTACCTGAGTGAGTTTGTAGGTTTCAATGCCACCCTAATTCCTGACTTACTAAGAATCCTATATAGGGAGGGTTTCAGATGTCTCCTCCTTATATGGTAAAACTACTCTAGATGTTTTATGTTCTTTCTTATTAATGTTATCATTCTTAGTTTCACCATTATTTTTATTTTGCTTTTGACCTTTGTTGATATTCCCAGTGAAATTTATAGGATGGTTATTTGACACCAACGCATCTTCTATCTGTTTTATTTCATTGTTTAGGCCTTTTTTGTATTACTTAGTGTTATTGGAGATTGTACAGATTTTAAGAATTCTATCCAACCAGAATTCTTGAATATTACTAAGTATTATTATACATGAGAATAATGCAATTGTACTTATTAATCTATGGATAGAATACGATGGATATATCCGTATTCAGGTTATGGAATTTGTGAGGATTGGGATTAATTTGACTTGTAAGATTTCTTCAATAACCAATATCATCTAAGTAGATCACTGAAGACTAGAGAGCACTAGATGGCCGTTTCGTTCCACTTGGGGGACTCTTCAGTAATGCACACTCTTGACCTCACCAGGGATCGAACATATGACCTTTAGGTTATGAAACCAACTATTCGGACTGGAATTTTAATTTTGTCAGTCCAAACCCCTACATAGACTGCACATCAGTCGCCTGCTTATTGATGCCTACTGCATGACAGTCCCGAAACTATACTGAGAAGTCGTGAATAGTGGGGTTAATCAAGTCAGGGTGGGGTGGGCGCTTACTGAGGGCATTGGTTGATTAGGATAGCGCTATATCACAAATTAATAAGTTTAGAACTCAAGGGTTAATGAATTCCAGCCAATGTGCCTTGATGGTCAACGAGTTTGGTGTCATAACGTGAAGGAACTGGGTTTGATCGTTGGCGGGGTCGAGGGTGCACATTGCTGATGAGTCCCAAAATGGGGGCGAAACGGCAGTCCAGTACTCCCTGGTTTTCATTGATCTTACCGATTCTGATGTTGGTTTGTGAAGAAATTCAATAACTGGGATAAATTAATGTTCTAACGAATATCTGAACATTTATCTCTATCTACACCTTATATTACATATTTTGCTTATCTAATCAGTGTCGTTTAACCTACAGGCGTCACGAATGAGGATGTCAAAGGTAGGAGTAGAAAAGCAAGACAAACCTTCATTAATCTGAAATCATTGTGGAAGTCTACAGTACTTAACATAAGGAACAAGATTCCGTTTTTTTGACACTAATGTCAAGTCACGCCGTCGCCAAAGGTATTTCCGTCATTGAAAGATATGAAGATATGAAAAGACTAGCTGTCTATGGCCACAGATATTTGCGTTCTGTGGTATCTCACTTGTTAAGTGGTATAATATGGTGAGTAATATTGAGATTAGGCGTAGAGTGTTAGGTGGGAAGGGTAAGTCCAGTCGACCAGGTTGTGAAGCTGTATCGGCTGAAGTGATTAGGCCATATGCTGTTGCGCATGCCAAGCCATCACTTTTCCTCGACGAACAATGTCGGCTGACATTGGATTTCATTAGAAAAGAGTTAAGGCTAGTCAAACTAAAACCTGTAATCAATTCATGAGATCTTCGATAGGTTAGTTTGATACAGCCACGTAGGGAAATATAGTCTGCGTGGTTGGGAATGCTAAGAACCAGTGGCTGGAGAATACTAGTGATATGGCCCAAAATCGTTCGTTGTCATTGGTGTAGATGCATTCATTTTTTGTAATATTCCACATCCACTGAACCGAGTTTTTTCTTCGTTACTATTCTTTCTCCCTTAAATTTCTGTTTATGATAGTAGATGTGAATTTCTTTTTCTCTATTTTGTTTCCCTTTCTGTGCTCTATGGATTGTGGTGACTTGAACTGCAGCACTTTCGTGCAAAGTTCTACGCTGATACTCATTCGATCAGTCAGTCAACAGACTTTCACAGCAGCTGTCCTGTTCCCATATTAAAGACCAGATGGCCAAGCAGAAAGAATAAGCAATAAGGAACTCTTGAAGGGGGGGGGCGAGCCAACCATGAACCTATAGCTGAACAATATGCCAAAGGAAATGGAAGTGGATTGAATATACGCTAAGGACACCATTGAGTGACATCAGACGCTGGTCCCTAAAGTGGAATCCAAGTGGGAAATGACTGGTTAAACGTCTGACGGTGACATGGAGGAGATAGTATGAGGAGATGAGAGTTTATGAGCACTCGAGAAGCTGGTTATGTAAGAGGGAAGATAACAGGATAAAATATAGAGGCGATTTTGAATCCCTATCTTATATTCAGAACCTAAGGGAATAATCATAATAACACAAAGCTGATTGAATATTAAGTGCACTATAAGTAACAACCACTAACTGCAGTCGTCTATAAGTAAAAGATTATTTCTGAGTCATTACGTTACTTTCTATCATCCGGTGTTACATTTATTTATTAGGGACAACTTTGAACTATGCTCGGTAAGCCTTATAAATTCAAGAAAATAACTGTTACTCAATAATAAATACTAAAAAGGTATTTTTTGAAGTGATATCTGATATTTATTTATAAGTAAAAGGAAAATGTCTTTTCTGAATCACCCTTACTCCAGACTGTGGTTAAGAAATGTGTGTTTGTTATGTGGATCTTCTGATAGCGAATATTTTGTCCAGATAGTAGATTGTCATCTAAATGAATAAAGTTTATCACATTTTTATGTTTAAATCTGTCTAATTATTTTTTTCAGCAGCAAATTTTCATTCCATTCAGCTTTCTACTGTCTTTTATGACTGGTTCCACGATTGCTCTTAAGCTTTCATTTCGTCCTCATACGATCTCCTCCATGTTCCTCTCTGATGTTCAATACTCTGTTTCATATCTGGGTCCCACTCAAATGGTGGCCTGGTGCGTGATATCAGTGTGTCGCCGATCCATCTCCATTTCCATCGGCATATTTGTTGGACAATAAGTTCATGATTGGTTCACCACCTGCCAGAGTTCCATGTTGCTTATACTTTCTGGTTGGCAGATTTGATCTTCATTACGGAGACACGTCAGTCTTCAGCGAAAGTCGGCATTATCCTGTTAGAAATTCTTTTATTGACTCCTCAATTTTTTGACGCAAACAGAATGACTGACTTGACATTACTGCGTGGGCAGTTGATTTTCATGCGGGTCTGTGTCGCTTTTCTGATTCTTCCCTTCGATCTCCTTCCTCATCTATGCTGTATGTATAGTTGAAACGATTCTATGCGAAGGATATGCCAAAGAGTTGACTTCATTTAGATTTTACAGACCTTCATTAACAGTTGTCTTCGCTCAATACTCAAGATCAGATGGCCAGAAAAGATCAGCAACAGGGATCTCTGGGAGCGAACGAACCAGAAACCAATTGTGAAACAAATAGACAGGAAGAAATGGAGTTAGGTGGATTGGCCATACTCTGAGGAAACCATCAAGTGACATCACTAGACAAGCCCTCGAGTGGAACGTGAAAGGGAAGCGGCGAGTTGGTCGTCAGTGCAAGGGTGACTTGGAGGAGGTGATGTGAAGAGGAGATGAAAACGTGTGGGCAGACATGGAGCCAGGTGAAGACTCTCGCAGAGAACCGAACTCAATAGAGACGCACGTCTGAAGCCCTATGTTCCTCTAGGAATTAAAGGATACAATAATAATAAAAATAATAATCATTTAGATTTCTCCTTCGCTGATAGTAACTAGTGCTCTATGCTGTTGGTTAGGTAATTTGCTTGATTTTGAGAAAAAAAAACAGTTTTTATTTATAAGTGTATATAATGAAGTTAACAATATTCATTTATTCTCTGTACCTTTTTCCTGCCCACTTATTTCTAGCTAGTCCATTTATCTACATTGCATCAACTAATTTATATCCTTTGCATGAATCCCAAAAAAATAATCACAATGATGGTGTATTCGATCGAAGCATAATTATTTATCAAAAGTTTATTGGACATATTTATCCAGTTGACAAATTTTATTTTACATTTGATGAGAAATATTGTATCAGTATAGACAGAGGTTATTGGAATAATAATAATAATAATGATCAGTTGTATACTACTAACAAACAGATGAAAGCAAGTAGTATATTCTTCTGGAAATTTCAAGAAATTCAACCAGTATGTGAATCAAAAGGAGAAGAGTATTTGATTGAAGAAAATTTGAAGATTGATAACTCTCAGAGTATAGTACAAGTACCAAGTAAGCTTAGTAGTTGCCTTAGAGAGGAATTAATGTCATTATATTGACTGTTAGTTGTAATAATATTTGGTAGAAAAATTTACACTCGCATAATTTTAGCTGTTGGTTAATCTCTCTTCCGTTGGATAGATCCGATGGTCTACACCTGCTGATTGATAAATTCGTTAAAATCTCCTTATTGCAGACTTTCAGCCAATAGGGTCCAGGGTTTTGAGTTCTGCTCCACCTACTTCAGCCTGGATGAGTGAATAGTATTATTAGCCCGCATAATAATAATAATTATTATTAATTCCTTCATGTTCCCAGTGGAACATAGGGCTTCAAGCTAGAGGCTTGAAGTGTCTGTAGCAGTGCTTATTTTTACAGGATAAGGTTGCTAGTCTCACGCCCAACCTTTCCTCTTAACCAGCTTTATTTCTGGCTTAGTGAGGTAAAGGAGTGCGTCGGCTGTGCCACCGACGCACCCTCAGATAATAAATATGGTTAACAGACTTGGATACCTGAAAACTCTGCTCCAGATACCTTAGTTCTAACTGAACTGATTGTTGCGTATTCAATTGCAGTGATTGTAGAAAAAGGCAGGCTAATTACTCAATAGACTCATTCTGATGGGAACTAGTCAGTAACTAGTGTATGTGTCTAATCCTTTGTTTGTTTGCAGTGTGGCCACCGTGCTAGGTGGCTCGCTATCACGGTGCACTGTAAATTGTTGATATTAGATGGTTGGAGGTAGTTGACAGGAAGCCTTGGACGTAGGTTTCGTGCTAGTTGGCACTCGTCACCAAGGCGTATCTGCAACCATGAGGGCACATGAGTTCTTTCAGGGTTGCAGATACGCCTTGGTGACGAGTGCTAACTGGCACGAAACCTACGTCCAAGGCTTCTTACCGACTGCCTCCAACCATCAAGTATTAGGAGTCATTCTCAATGATATACAAATATTCTTATCACTTTTATGTGACTCGTTTGAAAGACAAATGAGAAAGAGGGGTTTGGTCTGCAGTGGTTTTCAACCAATCAGATATATTTCAAGTTTGACCATGGATTGATATCAATTAGAGAACCGTTGAAGACCAAGGAGTACTGGATATCTGTTTCGTCCTAGTTTGGGACTTTGGGGTTTGGACACACAACCATGTTAAAAATGTAGAACTAATTTGAATGACATTAAACGATGTGATGTTGAGTTATGAGTCTGTTAGTATTTGGACGCATTTATCTTAATGTTTTGAATAGCATAGCAACATATCTTTTAACTTCAGTTGCTAATTTTCTAAAACATTTTATAAGGCATAACAGATGAATATATTTTCACATATTTGTAAATAAGCTCTGAAAGTAAAGGGTATATTGTTAAGTAAGCCGAAAAATAAAGGATTATGAGTGAACTAGTATTTGGAAATACTTATTTTAATGTTTTCGAATGGAGTAGCAACACTGCATTTAATTTCAGGCGTAAATAGGCCACTTCTATTATGTGGAAAGATACTAATAGCTAGAGTCTATTTGGGCATTGGTAAGTGGAAAGGATTGCTCATGCCTCACGTTTGCAAGTCTGTCACCTAATCTAGTTTGTTTTCAAAGAAAATTTTCATCATGTAATTACGAGGCTGGCATATACATGTTAGTAGACTTATATACTCATTCCTCTAATATTTTTGCTTTCCTTTCTAGAAAACATAGTTCAATACCTTGATTCAAAACATTAGTTTTCTCCAATAATCCTTGTGTTTTATTGAAAGTGTTTTTGTAAAATTTATCGTTTGTCACAGTGTCGACTTATTTGATTGTGTGAAATCCCTCCACCTACCTGGTGTTAGGAATTAAGCCAATACATAAATGTGTAAGCATCTGGCTCTGCGCCTTGTAATGTCATATATCCTAATTTGAATAATAAATAACTGACATGGTAAAATGAATGTTCACCAGTGATACAAACAGTCTGAGTAATTCAGCTTATGAATCTTTGAGTAGTTTGCGAAATTTCAATATTTTGAACGCCTTGAAGATACTACTAAGAGGATACTCAATCATAACTGATATTCACAATTTTCAAATTAGTCAGCAATTTGCCGTGTATACAGTTCGAGGGGTGACATTTTTACCACAGTTCTCTTTAGAAACCAAATTATTCAAATCACAGTATGTGAACTGCTTGATACCGTAAATAGCAATCAAGAAGACCAGCATATTTGCATAGAACCATTTACGACTGATTGATTGAGTAAGATCGGTAGTTGTATCCCACTCATATCACCGGAGGTCCGTTTCGCTAGTCTGGAGCCGAGTCTATCAGCGATGTATCAGGTTTGACTCAGCTCAGAACTGTTGTACATTTCAAATTACTAACTAATTTGCACATTATGAACTTCATTTATGGTGCCTCCAGTTCGTCCAAGTAACTAGCCAGAAATCATGTGGTTTGAACTGCTTTGGGGATACTCAGGGATACTCACTCAACTAAAAAAAACCGATTTGTTTTGTAAACAATTAAATTACTCACTGCATACTTTATTATTCTTGTGTTCTTTACTTGTATCTTGTCATTTTCTTTTTCTTTAGCTTCAGTTCAACCACCATATCAGTCATCGGAGTGTGAGAATAAAGTAAGTTGTAGGCAAAATATATGTATAAATTATATGCTACAATAGTAAATTCTCTTTACTGGCATCAAGTGATGATTATCTAGTGATCTGCAAGTAACAACTTCTGAGTATTCAGGTGGCTACAGCTTCACAAGTGTATGCCTTTGTATACAAATTTATAAGTCACGGATTATATAAAAAAACCCATAACAAAGCCGGATCCCACTGGCTTAATGGTCTACGAGCTCGCCTAGTAGCCGGAACGTCCTGGGTTCGAACCCCAGTGAGTGAGATTCCAATACTCCTTGGTTCTCTAATGGTTCTCTAATTGATATCAGCTCGTGTAGTTTTAAACTTGACGGTGAACTCTGTAGAAAAGTGAATGTGGTGGCAATAGGCTATCCACCGGGTCCCATGTTAACAGATTTATTTCTGAGTAAACTAGGAAATGGTATTTTGAAAAACCATTTCAGAAAATATGGATGATATCTTCATCCTTTGTGAAATTGATTTGGACAGGAACGCACCAATATCTCAATTCAGTAAATTGCATTCAGATATCAAATTCATGTGTGAAGAATAATCCCAAAGTAAAATAGCTGTTTTAGACGTCCTACTGACAAAAAGGCCAGATGGTAGTATAAAAAGGAATTTACTTAAGAAAAGCATTTTCACATCTTCGTTCCTCTCCGGTATAAAAGAAATTTGGTAAAGACCCTCAGCTATAGGGTCAGGGCTATTTGTTCAGAAGACGCGACTGAAGACAACCTCAGGGTTATTTACGGCAAGCTAATTGAACAGCCTGAAAAGTTCATCACTCAACACATGGCCAAGAAAGCAGTAAAGAATTCTACTGTATCTGTAAACAATAAGCCTCTATATATATACAACGAAAATATCAAGTGAAACAATAACCAGCAGGTTAAAGATGTCAATTCGAAGATTTTCTAATATAGGTAAGATGCCGCTTATATTTGGCTCTTGTAGAGCCGATTATATTGGCCGTTGCTTTAGGGAACTTATTTTTCGTAACCATGATCACCTATCACCAGTGTGGTTAAATTAAAGTGTTGTTAGGACTGCCAACAGTTATATACTGGATCACCTCATCCAAACATTGAAAAGTCTTCGTCTATCATCTACCGCGTATCAAATAAACTGGAAAAGGCCTCTGGATGCCAACACATCCCAACCATCAGTGACTGCTGCAATTCGCTTAATACATCCTGAGCTCAATGTACAGAATAAGCAGGTCTAGCCAGCCACTTTGCTATCCTGGCCTACTGTGGAACCTGTAGATTCATAAATTCTGTGTGTTACTTCCCTTAATTTATCTGATATTCAGTCAGTTTAGTGTTATATTAATGCATACTATCTCTCTATCCCTGTCTCTCTCTCTCTCTTCCTGATGCTTTTGAAATGTAACCACCTGTCGATGCTATTGATTCACCGTAATCTTAAACTACATCAATGTAGATAATTAAGAGCAATGCTTTAATTACCACTGTCATAAAAAAGCAGAACCTGATGAAGAAGATGGCGTTATCGGAAAGCAAATTCTTTCTTCATTAATCATCCTTTTAAATTTTCACATTTTCAATTCTTTTTTAAAATTAATGTAGGATTTCCGTTGGTTTTCAGTAGCATATTTCTGTACAGTTAGTTTAGTATGTATTGCACTTCGTTAAGTTTGTAAGTAGAAGTTAGGATATCCTAACCTTTGGAGTTCTTGTCTCCAAAGTAACCGGTGATAGGCTTTAAATGGTTGTTTGAAGCATAAACAGCTTCAGGAGAAGTTGGTGTAATAACCCACTGAATTTTCTTTATTTCTTTCTTGTTTTTGTTGTTGTGTGTAGCTGTCCTTACCTCCATTAACTCCAACTCTAGATAGTCAGTGTATTGAAACATGCAGTGAAAAATCAATTTTGAATAATGTGGATTCAAATAAAACAAATGATGACAATTGGTAAGATTTAGAATGCTTCTACTTTCCGATTAATGGAAAAATATTATATATATATATATATATATATATATATATATATATATATATATAGGTGCATTTATGATAGATTAGTTTAATAAACATATAAACATGATAACCACATATCACAGACGGAGAGTATTCAGATCTAAAAATATCTTCCAGTGGTCTTTCAATCGAGAACTAATTCAAAAAAAAGCGAGATGTTAGAGTGGACAAGCTTCTCTGTTAGATGTGAGGTGGGTCATGATTTATGCGTGTATTGACAAGAATAATCTTACTGGGCAGTTTTGATTCGTTTATTTATGGCTTAGTTTTCTGAGATCAAACAACCAATCAGATTTGTTCATTTACGTATGGTTTAAATTTCTGAATTTAAATTTCCAATGGTTCTCTAACTGATGTCAGCTCATGATGAAATCCTGTAACCAATCAAATCCCTACAAACCAACACTTGAAAATCAATGAGATGCTCACTAGCGACTTGCCCTATTCAGGTGGGTAGTCACCTGGGGTTCTAGTGAGAAGTCGTGACCAGTAGGGTGCAGCAGGTCGGGCGTGAGGACAAATACTCGCCGAAGACATTGGCTAGGGGTCGCGCTATGTCGTGAATTGGCAGAAGTTAGAATTCATGGACCATTGGATCGGGTCCCAGTGGCTTAATGGTATACGAGATCGCCTTGTAACCACAAGGTCCTGGGTTCGAATCCCGGTGGGTGCGTACTGCTGAAGAGTCCCAAACTAGGACGAAACAGCTGTCCAGTACTCCCAGGTTTTCCAATGGTTCTCTAACCAATGTCAGCTCATGATGAAATCCTGTAAATTTCTGAATATTTGTAAATATTAATATAGCGTGTGTTTCGTCTAATAAAAGTTGTTGCAGTTGCTGTTGTTGTCGTCGTTCCAGTCGTTGTTTTTCCCAATTTGACTTTTTCGTCTATCTAAGTGTGGGAGATACAATTTCAAATGACGAAGTTGGTCATAGTGTCGTGTTCTGGAGAGGTGCATTCTAGTCATGTTAAACGAATCCATAACTCAGTAACAGTTCGTTATAACACTATAAATGGCTGAAGTTTTATATAAACTATGTTGTTCAGTCAGTACGGTTTCAAATTAACGGAGAATATTTATGGTGTTTCAATTCTCACTCTGATAGAGAGAGAATTTATTAGTTGGAGGATTTCATCACAAGCTGATATCGGTTAGAGAACCATTGGAAAACCAGCTGGGAGTACTGGACAACTGTTTCATCAGCCTAGTTTGGGACTATTCAGCAGTATGCACCCACCGGGGTTTGAACCTAGGACCTTCCGGTTAAAAAGCGAGCTAACCACTGGGACCCGATCCAATGGCCAGCCCATGAATTCTAACTTCCGCCAATTCATGACATAGCGCGGCCACTTTGACCACTGGATAGGGTCCCAGTTGTCTAATGGTCTACGAGCTAACTCTCCTTGTAACCAGAAGGGCCTGGGTTCGAACCCCCGTGGGTGCGTACTGATGAATAGTTCCAAACTAGGTTGACGAAACAGCTGTCCAGTACTCCCAGCTGGTTTTCCAATGGTTCTCTAATCGACGTCAGCTCATGATGAAATCCTCCAACCAATCAAAGAAAATCCCTACAAGCCAATACTTGAAATTTAATATGTGTACACTTTGATATACAAAACAAGAATAGAAAGATAAGATCACATTATCTTACTCATTTAAGAAGTCATCCAACCATAAAGAAAAACAAAATCAAATGGCTAGTGTTCATTCAAAATTGACCTTCTATAAATACTTTCATTTGTCACCAAAAAAGAGACGATTAAATGTTAATCGAACCTCAAGCTATGATTATTTTATTTTAATTCTATGCGTTCCCGCTAGAACATAAGGCTTCCAGCTAGTGGTGTTTATTTCTTAAGGGCTGGGGGTTTCTGACTTCATACCCAGCCTTTCCTCTTTCATAGGCTTATTGCCGGCTAAGCGAGGTAAAGGAGTTCGTTGGCCGGGGATTGAGCCTCGAACCACATGTGACTTGGTTGGAGAGTTTTCTACCACTGAATCACCGATGCAACCTATGAAATGCACCCTAATTGAATACTTCCAATGTTTACACTGAATTTATACATTCTATTACTTCTTAAGTGAAAGTTGTGTTATCTTTATCTGTTAGTACACATTTAGTTGAAATGATGCCTTTACTGTATTGTCTTTTAGTGAAACGTATAAACAGAACACTCTACAAGATGACCATCCTCCTTTATGCCATAGACATTGGACTGTTTTTACTGATAATCAACCAATATCTGGCGAAGTGAATATCAATATGATTAATGAATTGAAATTTGCTCCAATTGGTGAAGAATTGTTAAAAGGTTCAATTGGATTTGGTTGTTTTAATCATATGATTGATAATTTAATATGGGATTCAGATACTGGACTGTTTATTTACACATATGTAAGTGATTTACATATATTTCATTTTTATTCTTATGCTTCTTTCAGCCTATAAAGCTGAAGGAAGATTAATTTACTCAGGGATTGTAAGCAAAGTTTTCTGTAACTGCAGAAGATAAGATAAAATTGGTAGCAGACATTTGTTAAGGAAAATAATATCGTATTTATACATTTCTAGCCGTATTAAAATTCGTCTAGGTCACTGGTCAATAAATTATTCTGATTGGTTGGTGATTAGTTCAAGGTTAAAAAAATGAGACAAAAAGTTGTCCACTGAGATTATTTCATGTCCACAACGTAAAGTAGATCCGGATTTTAGGAATAAACACCTCCACGTCTGCAGCCAATGACTTAAAATAATGTTGATTTCAATTTTGGCTGCTTCCTATCGATCTGCATGTATATACTACTTAAAAATCATGTCCATTGCACACGTCACATTCCCACACGTTGATGGTTTACCTTATTCCCTTAATAAAATAACAATCAGTAGATAACTGATTTATGTTTCACCCCATCTACTTCAGCTTGCACACTTAGATATTACATCAAAAACACTCAAAATATCTGTGTAGTTGAGTGGATAGCAAAGGACATCCGGTTGTTTAGAGATCGAAGAGTGTAACATCAGTTGCTAGATCTCGTCACGAACGAACGTCAGTTAGAGAGATCATTGAAAACCAAAGAAATTCTGGACAACTGTTTCGTCCAATTTTTCTGGAACTTTTCATCAGTGCAAACCCACGATCCCACAAGGGACCAAACCTGGGACCTTCACGTTAAGAGACGGTGTTCGTTGGCCATTTAGCCACTGGGAGCTGTAATTTAATGATCCATGAATTCAAGCTTTTTCAACGAGTGATTTAGCACTGCCCTTCCCAATGCCTCCCATGGGAATCCATTTCACCTTTCGATGGTGGACCCCACTGTTTATAACTGCTCACCACAGTCTTGTGATATCCATCCAGTAGCTGTCAATGGCGTCGGTGGCACAGCGGTTAGGACGCTCGCCGACCATGCACATGGTCCGGGGTTCGATCCCCGGTGGACGCACTCCTTTACCTCGCTTAGCCAGTAATAGAACTAGCAAAGAGGGAAGGTTGGGCATGAGGCTAGCAACCCCGTCTTGTAAAAATAAACACTGCTACAGAAACTTCAAGCCTCTAGCTTGAAGCCCTATGTTCCACTGGGAACGTGAAGGAATAAAAAAAGCTATCAATAAGGTGGCAATTGAAATTGAGATTATGGAATTTGTGCGGGGATTCAGAGTGAGTTCAATTGTGAGTAGTCCACCATGTCAAGGTGATGCAGATGCTCAGCAAAGGCATTAGGGATGGTAGAGCTATATGACGAACTGACAAAATTAGAGTTCACGGGTCACTGAATTCCAGCCCAAGTGGTTGAATGGTCAACGAGCTTGGTTTCGTAACTTGAAGGTCCCCAGTTCTATCCCTGGCGGGTTTTTGGGTGCGTACTGTTGAAGAGTCTTAAAGTAGGACGAAGCAGCTTCCTAGTGCTCCCTTGTTTTTCAGTGATCTATCTAACTGATGTTAGTTCGTGACAAAATCTAATAAATGAAATTAACACTAATCCTCACAAACCCATAAACCTGAGAAATATAAATTAATGTATTAGAATATCGTGGATATTATCGCACTTTGTCCGAAGGTGTTCCGGTTGGTGGTGAGATCGACTGTTGAATGTGGGAAAATGAACAACTGATGACATGCCAGTATTCATTGAATAACTACCATGTTTTTTTCAACTAACATTGTATTCAGGGGGTTATATATCATTCTGAATCAAATTATCGGGTATAATTCTCGTTAAAGTTTTGTCTTATAAATCAAATATTGGTAAATACTTTCTTCAGTGCATTCATGTATCATGATGGCCTTCAAATACAATGTTTTCATATCACGTGTGACTGGTTTATTTTCTTGTAAATGGCTTTGTTTAAAATTGACATTATGTACGGGCACAATCATTTCAAACCAATGATGAAGAAAAGGGATATTCTAGTTTCAGCGTAGAAAAAATACACTTCTGATTCTGATTGTTGCATAATACACAAGTTTCACTATGAGGTGACGTGTTTGTGAATGCAAAATACCGAAGGAAGAGTTGACTGAAGTGTTTCACTGTACATTACTTCAGTCGATCTGATACTGAATTTTATAATTCCTCTGAAATTAGTTTAATTGAATTTTAGATTTTCCCGTCGATTGACTGGACCGAAGTGCTCGGTCTCAGGTTGACATGTCGGCTTCTTGTGCAGATGCTTCGACGATGTCTGGGAATGTAATTAGAATTTAATTGGTGGAATCCAGGATTCGCATTTTGTCCTATTTGGGATTCGTCAACTACGGGCACTGGGTTCGAGGCTCGGTGGGAACATCATCACTCACTGGGAAATGCAGGCACATCCAGATGATGAGTCCCAAATACGACAAAATGCGCATCCTGGATTCCACTGATAGTCACCACCCACCAATTAAACTCTGAAATTAGGGCTAACCGTCTTTAGATTATTTGTTTTCATGGATATTTGAAATTTTTTGAAGATATTTACCACTAACATCAAGGAAATCAGGATACACTTAGTAGGATGTTTGTCTTCAGGCTTTTTTTGACAGTGTTTTCCATCAGCTTCACTCAAGATTGAACTTCAGCTTTGAAGTTAAACCACAAATTATTTAATTCAATTTAAATTTTCCCGGTCGATTGATTAGACCAAAGTACTTGGTCTCAGGTTGACTAGTCGGCTCCTTGTGCAGATGCTTCAGTGATGTCTAGTCGGGTAACTTGAAGTCATTTGGTTGATGGTGACTTGCAGTGGAATCCACCAGGATTCGCATTTCGCCCTATTTGAGACTCGTCAGCCAGTGGATGTACCTTCACTCCCCAGTGAGTGATGGCGTTCCCACTCAGGCTCTAACCCAGGTGACAAGTCCCAAATGGGACGAAATGAGCATCCTGGTGGATTCCACTGCTATTTACCATCAACCAACTGACTTCAAGTTATATCAAAAAGTTAAGAGTGGTCCTCTAAGATTGATTTGCCATTTAAACGCTACAATACGATACCTGTAATTCTTTCTGTAGCATAATTACTACTGATTCAACTGGTGTTTAACTTTTGTATGATTTTAACTGATAATATTGATTTCTGATTTTAGGAGTCTTTACTGATATTTGAAGAATTAGAAACTGGTTTACAATCAGCCTACCGTTCCGTGATAAATCATAGTTCAGAATATAACAAAGTGTTTCATGGAGAAATATTAAATTCATTGGCGTTAATCCCGAACAAATCAGTATTAGCAATTGGTTCAACAAGTTATTGGCATCTTTCTGAGAAAAAATCCAGGTAAGCATATAAAAGCGCTTTTTTTTCCAAAAGTTACCTTTTAGGTATTTCTTTTGTTTCCCTACGAATCAACTCTTGAAAATTAATTTGATGCCAGGTAGTGGCTGGCTACAGGACGAGTTTATCTGGAATTTGTGACTAGTGGAGTCCGCGAGGTCGAGAGTGAGGACAGATACTCGCCGATGTGACATTGGCTGGTGTCAGTCCTGCTAAAATCACAAATTGGTAGGGTTTGAAATTCATAGGCCAATGGGTTGGGTCTCAGTGTCTGAATGGACTACGAGCTTGATTTGCGACCAGAAGGTCTTAGGTTCGGACTCTGACAGGCATATACTGACGAGAAGTCGCATATCAGGACGAAACAGTTGTCCAGTTCCCCTTGGCTTCGTCATCAAATTTCAAAAAAACCTTTTTTGTTTAGAGTATTTCGCGTCATAAAAGTAGAACACATCCTGTTGCTACTGTGTGATTACGATGATGTATCTGACGATTCCGTAGAAGCTGAGTTGAATTTAAATGTTTTCCATAGTTCTTTTATCGTTTGATGAACCGATATCATCACATGAAAAACAGCTGTCTGACTCTAGTTTGCTGTTTTTAAAGCTAACCCGCACTTTTTTTTTCTATACTGACATCTGCCTTTTGGTTTATGCCGAATGTATAGTTCATATTTCTTCGCAGTGTTTACTACACCAACGCATCTTGCTAACTTTTTTCAACGGACTTGAAAGCCGTTTCACAAATGTTTGGAGTTTCTCAGCACTGTTTATTGACAAAAACATAAAAGGTGGCAGTGATTGCAATAGGCTTTAGCTAGGAATCCACCTACCCGTCTAAATCCTCATACTCTGTTCATTTAGAGGTAGTGTGCAAACGGTATTCATTGTGACAGAATGCTGCACATTTACCTGTCTGTTTTATAATGACTGGTTAGATGGAAAGTTTTTAAGCGTGCTTTTCAATGCAAATTGATGCGGGTTTTATAGGGATGTTTCTAAATTTTCTGCTTCATTCACGTATATTATTGAATACATTTCAATAACAAAGAGAGTATTTATAATGTATAAGGTATTTTATGTGTATGATGATGCTAAGTCCGAGTACATGGGTTTGACTAATCAGAGTTGTTTTAATTGTTGATTATTTTGTTAATTCTGCTGGATCTTAGATTAATTTGAAGGCCCCAATGGACCACTGTTGGCAGAAGAAGCATCAGAGATAGGACCAGGTGAGCATAGAGAAAACACCACCAACAGCAACAACAACAACAGACAACAATCAGCATAAATGGAAGGAACCTGAAAGAAACAACCGCCTTTACATACCGACCTGGGAAGCATCGTTTCAACTACAGGCAGAACTGACGAGAATATCAAAGCAAGACAAGCTTTCACTACTCTAAAGTTTGTGTGGAGGTCAACAGAACTCACCATGAAAAATAAGATCCAGATTTTCAACTCCAATGTGAAGTCACTGCTACTCAATATATGGATCAGAGGCTTGGCGCGTCATAAAGAGCACATCAAACAAACTACAGACCTTCATTAACAGTTGTCTTCGCTCAATACTGAAGATCAAATGGCCGGAGAAGATCAGCAACAGAGATCTCTGGCAATGAGCGAACCAACACATCAGGAACCGATTGTGAAACAAATAGGCAGGAAGAAATACTGACGGATTGGGCATACTCTGAGGAAACAAAGCCATCTAGTGACATCACTAGACAAGCCATTGCTCGAGTGGAACCCGAAAGGGAAGCGGCGAGTTGGCCGTCAGTGCAAGTGTGACTTGGAGGTGGTCACGTGAAGAGGAGATGAAAACGTGTGGTCAGACTTGGAGCCAGGTGAAGACTCTAGCAGAGAACCGAACGCAATGGGGACGCACGGCTGAAGCCCTATGTTCCTTTAGGAATGAAAGGAAACAATAATAAATAATAATAATAATGGACCACTGTTGTTATAGTGGGACTATGGGGTGTGGGTTTGTTTGACTTCACTAGAATGCACCTCTAGAACATGACACCGTAACCAACCAATTACTTGAAAATATCTCCTACACTGAGATTGGAAACAAAAATCAGATTGGGGAAAACGACGACTTTTATCAGACAAAATACACTATATACTATATTTTGCAAAACCCTCAGAATTTTAGGCTATTAATAAACAAATCTGATTGGTTTAATTGAAATTAAGATTTTCCCATCGATTGATTGAACCGAAGTGCTCGGTCTCAGGTTGACATGTTGGCTTCTTGAGCAGATGCTTTGACGATATCTAGGCATTAAATTAGTATTTAATTGGTGGATGGTGACTAGCAGTGAAATCCAGGATTCGCATTTCATCCTATCCGAGAGTTCCTTATAGTAATACATGAAGTATTTTATGTGTATAATGATGCGGAGTTCAAGTACATGGGTTTGACTAATCAAAGTTAGTTTAATTATTGATTAATTTGTTAATTCTGCTGGATCCTAGATTAATTTGAAGGCCCCAATGACCCATCGTTGTGACGGAGTGACACTGGGGTGTGAGTTCGTTTGACTTCACTAGAATGCACCTCTAGAACATGACACCGTAACCAACTGATTACTTGAAAGTATCTCCCACACTGAGATTGGAAACAAAAATCAGATTGGGGAAACAACGACCTTTATTAGACAAAATACACTGTATACTATATTTTGCAAAACCCTCAGAATTTTAAGCCATTAATAAACAAATCTGATTGGTTTAATTGAATTTTAGATTTTCTCGTCGATTGATTGGACCGAAGTGCTCGGTCTCAGGTTGACATATCGGCTTCTTGAGCAGATGCTTTGACGATATCTAGGCATTAAATTAGTATTTAATTGGTGGATGGTGACTAGCAGTGAAATCCAGGATTCACACTTCGTCCTATTCGGGACTCGTCATCTGGATGTAGCTGTTCCCATCGAGCTTCGAACCCAGTGCCCATAGTTGAAGAGTCCCAAATAGGACGAAATGCGAATCCTGGATTCCACTGGTAATCACCATCCACCAATTAAATCTGATTGGTTTTTTGACGTCGGAATATTAAGCTATCAGTGAACGAATCAAAACTATCCAAAAAGGTTATTCGTGTTAGTACATGCATAAATCATGACTTCATAGCTAACGAAAAAAGCGTGTTTGTCCTAACATCGACAAATAACTTTATGAAGTATGATCAATAGTGAACATGTGGTTTTGTAATTCTGATTCCAAGATGACCTAAAGGTTTTCAAATGATCCTGTAAGAACTTTATTACCTATTAAATAAATGTATACTGATCAGTTTATATAAAACTGAGTGGTAGTTTCAGGTGGTACTTCTTACAACTAAGTATTTCATCAAAGTTTGTTGAAAAGTCCTTAAGAAAATTCAGTGGTTATAACAAAAATGGGTAAGGTCAAACTAGCATAGCCAAAAATCATAGTAACCTTGAACAACCAATCAGAATTCAGATGCAAAGAAAGCTTCATCATCGTTAAAAAGTGTATTTAGAAACATTACAAACATGATAATACAGCGGTTAATTGTCTCTTATGTGTTGTAAGAATGTGTCCCAGTAACTCCATTGATAATCTATAGAAACATCATGCCATACGCGCTACAAGGATTCCTCTAGGTGAATGTAGATCTTGGTACTTTGAGATCCATTGATATTATAATAATAATGCCTTTATTCGTAAGAGTGCTTATCTTATTTAATAAATTTTCAGAGGAGTTTATTGCACGATATTTGCCTTTCGCATAGGATCTTCAAATAAATTATTAATTGACAGTAGATCCTGTGACACAATGCTGTTTGATCTGAAGTGCAAACTCATCTTCTTTGTGTCCTTCAAGAATCGCCTGACATCTGATTGAAAGCCAATTTCATGTATTTATTCACCTCAATGAATTTGAATGAAGGAAGAACAACAGTGGTGGTTTGTGCAGAATAATACGGTACCATCATTGCTCATTTCGTTGGCTTCTCATCAGCTGCCGCTTACAGCTTACAGATTTTACATGATGTCAGTTGACAGGAAGTTCCGAGCCTAGTGAACAGTGCTCAAAAAATTGCACCTATATGATTTTTACACAGGCAGTTCAAGTTTAAACAAAGTAAATATATGCTCACAATGGTGAGGGAGTTAGGTAATAAAGACGAGAGGTGCGTAAGATGATGAGTGACTAATAAATTAGGTAACAGTGTACTAATTTCAACTCAAATCACAGAAACAAGAGGCAAGCACAATTACACTATATCAAAGGAGGTGTAAAGTAAAATCCAAAGATTACGTAATCGAATGAGAGAGATAATAAAGACATCCAGTTACTAGGACGAGCAAGGAAAGACTGATAATTGCTTCTTTCTGAACACATAAATCGGGTTTCGGGCGTTTGATAGAGGTTGTCTCATCAAATTTGAAGAGAATTGAGCTTTTCTGTCTATTGATAATTTTAAAGGATTTTGCGATTTCCGCCTCATGACCCGTATCAAGGAGATGCCTAGTAATGGCAATGTTGAAAGCATTTATTCCCTTGAGATATAGGCTTTTCGGCATATGTTCAGAAAATCGGAGTTGTAACCTTCTTTCTGTTCTCCCAATATAACTGCTCCCGCAGAAGGGTATCTGTCGACTTTTGACTGCACCAAACAGGATGTCGTCTGATAGACGAGAACCAACTTAGCTGCAGGATAGGCCCTGGCTAGTGACGTACTCAATCTTATCCTGACTATTGCTACAATATTTTCACCTTTGAAATCGCCAGGCTTTTTTCCCACTGTGATTTGTTTGATGTTTGAGCCTCCATATCTTCCACATTTATTGAGGAATCTTTGAGGGTAACCGTTGTTTTTCAACATCTCTTCGAGAATCGGAAATTCTTCGTGTAATTTGTCTGTAGCGCATATTCTCCTGACTCTATAGTTTAGAGTTTTGACTAGCTTTCGTTTGAAGCTATGTGGACAAAAACTAGTAAAATGTAAGTATTGTCTATTCCATGTA